CGAATGCATTTGTATATTTATGTAATATGAATATAATCATCATCATACTCATCGCCGATATTCCATCACCATGATCACCACGTTTCTACCCTTTACATGCTATAAAATGTATGTATATAGGATATAAATATTTGTATATGTAAGCATGTATGTATATATGTATGTATAATGTATGTATGACATAATGAAATGAACAAAAACAATGCGTATATGTATTTTCAAGGGAAACAACGTCTCTTTACGTTGTCTCGCCAACAAACATACGAGTGGTGTCCCTTTCTTTCTAAGTCCAGCCCCAATTTGTCCTTTTCTGCCTCGCTGTCCTATTTCCTGTCATTTTGTTTTGTTGGTAATCATAATATGCATTGTTTTTCTACCACCCATGTTTTTCATTTAACACCTCATCATATAGCTGCTTTTGTTAGCCCATCAACACATGTCACCAGCATCAATGAGCGGTCGCCCCACCCTCTATCGCCCCCACATCCTTTTCTGCCTTCTCCTCTCCCTACAAACAAAGATGCTTGGTGACATGGAGTCTAATAAAAACATCATCGCCACGTTAAATAAATGCATGTACATTATCATTGAAACGTACCGTGCCCACTGACAAACGAATAGCCCCTGCTTCTCTCAATACCCCCTTTCATTTCTGCCTCCCCCTGTCTCTACTCTCTTTTCAAAGTCAGTGGAAAACGGTACGACCCATCATCATTTTATTCACATCATCTTATTGATTTTGCTTTTGTTTCAAAAGAGATCTGTACAATATGTTTCAACAATAAACACTTTAAAAAAAAAATCATCATCAGGTGCTTTGCCGACTGGCATGGGCGACTATGCCCTGCCACAATCTGCGATCTCCTGCAGCATGTATTAGTTCGTGTGCTGTCACACCTCCATGCCATGCAACAAGACTGCCAAGAATCTTCTCTCGTTGTCTTCCTCTATTCCTTCTTCCACAGATCTTTCCAGTGGTCACCACATGTTTCATTTTCCATCATCTTATAACATGGCCGAAAAATGATGACTGTCTCCTCTTGATGTCTGTGAGTAGTTGTCTTCGGGCTCCCGCATCTTTCAAAACCTCTTGGTTGCTTTTTTGTGTGGGTGTGGCTGTCCAAGGTATTTTAAGCATTGTTCTGTAAAACCACATCTCTGATGCCTCAAGAAATTGTTTGGTCGGCCTACCAATTGTCTAGGACTCACAGCCATATGTTAAAACTGGATGTATGTAGCTAGCAAGAAAGCATTAGCTTTCAAACAATCGTTCCATGTTGTCAGCATTAAGGCAGCTTCTTGTCTCACTGAAGGTATTTCCAGCTGTGCTAAACAGACTTTCACTTGGTACGCTCGTAGGTGGTGCACAAAGTAACGCTTGACAGTATGAACCAAGGTGGAAAATCTTGATGTGTTCATTTTCCACCAGTCCCAGAAATGGGTGTAAGGTAACCACTATTCGTATTTGGCCCGACCGCAACTATTCGGCCGAATACTGAATAGTTATTAGGTCCACTATTCGGCCCCGAAGCGAATACGAAGCGAATATTCGGTACAGCCCTGGTTTTTTATGTGTGTGTGTGTATAGAACACCAGCGGTGAGTGATGTGTCTACCACAAAAACCTCTAGTTGCATTTATAAACAATCCCCTGATACAACCACACACTGTCTATCGCCACGGTCTAGATATCAATCGTTTCATGTCTGGGAAATCGATACACGGGACAGGTAGGTGACTTGAGACCTATCGTGAATGGAAGGTCTGTTAGCGTCTTAAAGGATCAGCACATAGCGACAATGTTTGTCCATAGCCTGTATCCTTAAGATTAGGAGAACCAACACTTGTATGGGTCTAGGCGCTGAGACTGTTCTGTCGGGAATGTGTTTTTTGTGGATTTTTTTTAATGCTCTATTGCATGTGTTATTTTGTGTTATGTGAATGTTTTTCGGAGACTGGTGTTGAATGTGAGGGGGTCCCCCGCCTTTTTTTTTTTTTTGCGTTCACCAGCTGTAAGTTCAGGCGGAAAGTTTAAATTCTTCGTCAACTTCTGGGCATTTGTTTTATTCTAGAGTTTGGATTGTGCACGTCCGTTTTACAGGATGTACACATTTCTGGCGCGCAGGCGCAGTCCTTTCGCTGGCCCAAGTGAGTTCATGGGCACTATTTTAAATATATATCTTGATTGTTGTTGTTGTTTTTATTGCCCTAAACAAAAAGTAGTATGTTGTTACGGTTGTTTGTTAAAACATGTTTAGTAAATCATGTTTAATTATAAAACTAGAAAGCATTCCACAAAAAAAAATTTGCAGCATATAATAATCTTGTAACATAGGCATTTATATCTGTCAAAAATATGGAATTTGAATATTGTGTATTTGAATGAAGGAGATTGCAGTACATGTCGAAATGTGTGTTATGTGCGGCGAACAACGACAGTGATTATAAAACCCAAAGCAAACATAGCGTGACGATTTCTGGGCTGAATGGCAAGTCTAGTTATTCTTTCCTGAAGTTACTCCTATAGTTGTTATCCTGACCAACAGTTATTGATGCCCTGTCCACATGCTAGTTTTACTGTGGGGTCTCTCTCTACTGATGGCATCGAAGAATACTGATCAATTAGTGGTTTTACTTATATCACGTGCCCGGCTCTCTAGCGAAGTTGGCTAAACCTGACTTCACAATGACCGGGTGACGAACTCCTTGGTCCGGGGGTAGGCAGAAAAGCTACATTTCTCCCAGATTTACGATATTTATCATGGAATCAAGGCCGAAGGGTTGTGATATCCACAGTATCGAGCCAAAAGGTTAAGAACTCATGGTTTCTGAATATTTAAAAAAAACTTATATCACGTATATTTCTAGGTATTTTTTTAATTCACCTAAAACAAAGGAAATCCCTGAGTTTCTGGGAAAGTCCAGGATTCTAGAGATGTGATGGCATTACTTCGTTCGACTGTTTTATTAACGTTATGTCTACGTTGATGCAATGTGCAAAAAGATTAGTATCATGTGGACAAATTGTGAAACTTTGTGTGAGCGCTGTGTGCAATCGGGGAATGAGAATTGGGGTATCTGGGGGGGGGGGGGGCTGAAAAGGGCCACCCGTCTCCACATAGAATATATGTATACTGCTGGGTTAGCCATGAGTTTACAGTCATACAGTTTTATACTTTAGTAGATCTGGAGATGTCGAAAGCAGCAACTGTCATCGACATCGACTATTCTTGCCGTGGCCAGAATGGTTGTGAACACATCGAGACCAGCACATTTAGATTATACACTTGCACATGCAGGACTCATCCCGCCCTGTGGCTAAAATAATATCCTCATATATTTCCCATAATTCTTATAAGCGCGTCTGTTATCATTACTCAGCGCGTTTGCTCGCTTCGTATCTTTTGGGCCAGACACAATTGCCTGTAAAAACAATACCGGCGGAATTAATTCTACGCTCTCGTGAACGTTGTACAAATAAATGCTTTGTAAGTGAATATATCGTAAGTTATGTCTCAGGTGGTTCTTCGTGGTAAGGCGGTATGCCTGTCTATAAGCGGGGCTCGATCCGGTTCTGATATAAGAACGTCTACTGAATTTCCTCAGTTGGAGCATGGGAGTAGGTAGTCACAGTAATCAATACCTGGCAGCATCGGCTCTGACACATTTTTGTTGTGGATGAACGCATTGCGATGACAATGAATGTGTGATCAGTGACTCACTGTCAGTCTGTTACCTTCCTGCCAGATACACACACATCGACAGTCTCCAGAACATAGCCCAGGTCCATGTTTAAGTGCTGAAGTATTTTAAGTGAGCTGACAGGCTAGCATTTAACAAATAAAGTAATTATGTGATAAGGTTGGTCGTCTCAGCCTCTGCTTCAGGGCTAGTACACTGTCAAAAACATAATTTTAAAAAAAAAGTAGATTCACAGTCATTACCTTGATTTGCAGGAATGATGTAAATGAAGGAGCTAGTAGGATGATTAGATTCGCTATCACTACCGATGAACCATGCCGATATTATTAATGCCCTTCGAGAAGTGGGAAGGGTGGAGGACTTTGGGGGCAGTGAAACCAAATCACTTGCTAGAATGATAGACATGGCAGTTGAGATCGACATAGCAAACACCCAGATGCATACTATAGAACTGGTACTATTAGCCACCAGACAATGGAGTTCATACAGAGAGGAGAATCTGAACACCCGTGGACATGTTCGGAGTGCAGTGATGATAACCCAGTTAACTAACCATGAATAATACCATGTGTGGGGAAGTCTGAGTTGGGTATTAAAGTCATACTGCTTTGTAATGACTACTTGAATCCAGGACATGTAAAGGACTTTGTGCATACTGACAGAAACCTTTCTGTGATGCATGGTCCCTCCAGCAGACACTTTTAGTGTGACATTTTTAAAAGATGGTGTATTGGTGGCATCTAGATGTTTTAGAGGAAATGAAGACAACTTATCCCAAACATCAGAACGAGACGGGCGTCTGTTGTTGATCATATTATAAGTAGAAATAAGCTGTAAGATATGACAACAGGATGGATTTGGGGGGGGGGGGTAGAGGAAGGCAATGCAGGAATGTCTTTGGCAGCTTTTTGTCATGACATCGATGTTATCAGTGCCTTGCGCAGCACTTGACACACAAATAAATATGACAGAGGGCATCACCCCATATCCCTTTCTAGACTGATGGACATGGGGTTGCCTCTTGGAACTGAAAAAAAAGAGCATTTCACCAGGAGGACAAGATAAACTAATCAACACAGAACAGGCGTCATCAGTCATTTTACACTTGTGGAGCTTTTGAGGAGGAGATCGGAGCATATCGGAAGTATTGTGTTAATAATCCTCACTAATCCCTAAAGGAAGGGTCTTCACACATAAACTGATACGTACTGTATCAAGATGTGAAGAGATGTTATCACGCATGCCAGTTGCAAGGCACTTCATAATAATAATGTTTTGCTTCCCTGTTTGTTTTTTCAGTCCGAGGACGAGGAAGACATTCTGGAACTCTGAAGACTCATAGCCAAACTAGAAGGCCGAAACGAGGCAGAGGCAACAATAACAGCCGATCAAGTGAGCCTGCAGACATGCGGAAAAGTCATGACAATGTTACTTCACGAGTTCTATCTGCCAGTCGAAATCGGATAAATGAGCTCAGGAATAAGGTAATTCCAGTAGCAGTTTAATATTTAGCACAGAAATAACGTGAATTTAGTAAATGTTTATAATAGTTGGCATTGAAAGTATGTGATTATAATAGTCAAGTAATATTAGAAAGCCTACAAAAAATATGATTATAGTATAACTATCTTAACATAGAAGTAATATGAATATAGTATTACTGAATTTATCATACAAATGATATGATTATAGTATTACTGTATTTATCATAAAAATAATATGATTTTATTATTACTATATCACAGAAATAATGTGATTATAATATTATTGTATTTATCATAGAAATATGTCATTGTACCAATGCTAAATGACATCTGTCAGTAATGTCAGAACTTGATGTCAGTGTAGCTGTGCTAGATGACATCTCTCAGCAGTGTCACCACATGATGTAAATGTATCTGAGCTAGATGACATCTGTCGGTAGTGTGATCACCTGATGTCAGTGTACAGTGTACTTGTGCGAGATGACATCTGCCAGTGGTGTGGTCACCTGATGTCAGTCTACTTCTGCTAGATGACATCTGTCAGTGGTGTGATCACCTGATGTCAGTTATATTTAATTTTTCAGGTAGAAGAGTTAAACATCCAGATCCACAACCTGCAGCAGGAGAACAGGCTGTTCAAGAAGATGCAGTTCCGGCAGGAGAAGGCCCTACGTGTGTTTGAGGACAAAGAGAGTGATCTTCCTAGCATCTTAGACAGACACAGCAATGAAGTCAGGTATGTCCTTGGAGTTTATATCTGATTTACAGACTGGTAGATGGACATAACAGTGATCAGATATGTCTTTGGAGTGTATATTTGATGGACAGACTTGTAGATGGACATAACAATGAAGTCAGGTATGTTGTTGGAGTTTAGATCTGATAGACAGACTGGAAAATGGACATAACAGTGAAGTCAGGTATGTTGTTGGAGTTTAGATCTGACAGACAGACTGGTAGATGGACATAACAATGAAGTCAAGTATGTTGCTGGAGTTTATATCTGATAGACAGACTGGTAGATGGACATAACAATGTAGTCAGATATGTTGTTGGAGTTTATATCTGATAGACAGACTGATAGATGAACACAAAAATGAAGTCAGGTATGTCCTTGGAGTGTATATCTGATAGAGACTGGTAAATAGACATAATAGTGAAGTCAGGTATGTTCTTGGAGTGTTTTTTCTACAAGACAGGCAAATGCAGTAATGATATTTATGTACAGCCTTCAGGCGAATACATTAATGATGTTTATGTGTAGCCTAACTGCCAACAGAAGAGACAAGTAAAAGGTTGTGTAGACTATAGGCAGAGAATGGTAGACAGAAAAGTGCAGCAATGATATTTGAGTATGTACAGCTTTAAAGATGGACTGAGTAAGCAGTTTTAAGGCAGAAACTGATAGACAGACAAATGCAACATCAGTGTGTTACTGTTTATGTATGTCTGGTAAAAGTATGCCCTGTAGATCTAAACACAGTTGGGAGGTCGGACACATTTTTGCACATCTAGTTATTTTTCTTTTTTGTGTACATGTTGTGACCACTGGAAAGATCTGTGGAAGGAGGGATAGAGGAAGACAACGAGAGAAAATGCTTGACAGTCTTGTTGCATGGCATGGGGGTGTGTCGGCACACGAACAGATACATGCTGCAGGAGATCGTGGATTATGGAGAGGCATGATCATCCACGCCAGTCGGCAAGGCACCTGATGATGATGATGATGATATTCAAGGACAGTAAACTCAGGCAGAATTTTATGGCTGTTAGATCCACCTCTGAACCTTAGTCTTTTTCCAGACCCTGACTGTTGCATGCACATCAGTTTTACAGATCTGCTTACTTGTAAACAGACTTTTGGGTCCATCATCATCATCATTAGGTGCCTTGCCTTAAAAGTTTAGTTATTATTTCAATTCTAAAATCTCCCAGTGCTACGATTTCTTCCAGTGAGATGTTGTCTGGCCCTGGTGATTTTCCTTTCTTTGGGTCCATACCTTTCAAATATATGCACTCAGACATGATTGTTAATGGGGACCCCATTATGGGTCCCAAAATCCACAGTGGAAGCATATCTAATTCCATCAGGAAAAGGAATTCAGGTGTCACCTTAATTTTCTTGGCTTTCTTTTGCAAAGAGAATCAAATGCAGGTATCCGTTGAGAGATAGAAAATATTTCAGGTAATTGCTTTCACATTTGGACCATACTTGTTCCTATTCTTTTATGTCAAATTGTTTTTTTTTTATATTTGCAAAAAATTGTAAATTCAACATCATCAATATATTGCAGGTCCTTCTCTTTGCATCTTTGCAGAAGCTCGCTCCTATCACATACTTCATCATCACAGATTGCCAGAAAATCACTGGAACGCCTACCAGCATTCCCACCTCATGGACTTTCATGGGACAATATTTGATATTCTGCGTCCACCAAGAACCATACTCTCCATTACTGCTTTCTCCAAGCTAGTATTGCATTTAATATGTCCAAAGCACTTGATTTTATGAGACATTATGCTATTTATAAACCGGTCAGTCTTCTTTCTGCAAAGTTCTGGTCTTATAGAATATCTGTATTTTTCTCCTTTTCTTCCTGGTATTCTAAGAATTGTTTTGTAAACATTAGGAAGTGGGGGGGGGGGGGATCTTTTCCTATTATGAAATGGTCCATATTATACCATAGACAAGATTTGTGTCCTCGAAATTACTTTTATTGTTTTGCAGATTTCAATTCAATTCAATCCTTGGGAAGAAAGGAATTACCTGGACCATGTTCAAGTTTAGTTACATTTGTGGTCATTGGTCTGTGCAGGTTTACTTGATTCTATCCAAGTGGTATATGATTATGCCTTAGTTTCCTGTATTTGTGCACCACCCATGTCTTTCGGGCTTTGGGTCAGTGAAGTTTCCACTGCTGTGATGAGGAGGCTCCCTGGTAGTCCGAGTTAGTGTTCCACTTGAGCTTCTTCTGCAATGCTCTTGATTGTCTGAGCTGCACTTCTTGGGCTATGAGTCCTTCTTCTTCCTCTAGCTTATTGTGTTTTTCCTCTTCCTCTTTGTAAAACTTTTGTATCTTGAAATCAGCTGTCTTGTGTTTTTTCCGCCGTCATCTCTCTTGATTTTACAGGTGCTATTCTTTAAGCCTTTATTTGCTGTTTAGTCAAGCAGCTACTGTATGGACATATCTTGTACTACCCATGGAAGAAAGGGTTGATTGGCCGAATGGTAAGAACACACCAGGGTTCGAATCCCCAGTACGGCATATTATTCGCTCCCTGGCGGAGCCAGACTTTTTTCAAAAATGATCTAAGCTCCCAGGTGGCCCAGCCTTGTGGGTGTACTGGGTGCCGTCCTGGGAAGTAGAGGCGGCCGGCGTGATGCTGAACACATCACCCATCTTGTGCTGATTGGTCTATAAAATATAGGTCTAGCCCTATATGCCTAAAGGCGTGGAAAAGGGTACTTTACTTATTTACTAACCATTGGAAGACAGGTTTTCACCTGCTGGTCTTTAAGTGTTGGCTTTGAATCCACATCAAGATATATATTTTTTTTTAATAACTGACCTGTGCCAAAGTCAACCGTACCTGAAAGGAGATAGTAATGTTGTCCAATAGATGCTAGGAAGATAGTTTTCTTTGCCAGATGGCTTCCCCTTGCAGCTTCTTGTACAACCTATTCTCCTGTTGCAGGTCCTAAATGTGGATGTTTAATTACCTCTTCTACCCAGAAAATCAAATATCACTAACATCAGGTGATGACATTACTGCCAGATGTCATCTAGCACAGGAGCATTAACATCAGCTGCTGACATTACTGCACGATGTCATCTAGCCCTGGAACATTAACATCAGTTGCTGACATTACTGCTAGATGTCATCTAGCACAGGAGCATTAACATCAGTTGCTGACATTACTGCTAGATGTCATCTAGCACAGGAGCATTAACATCAGTTGCTGACAGTACTGCAAGATGTCATCCAGCACAGGAGCATTAACATCAGTTGCTGACATTACTGCAAAATGTCATCTAGCACAGGAGCATTACCATCAGTTGCTGACATTACTGTCAAATGTAATCTAGCACAGGAACATTAACATCAGTTGCTGACATTACTGCAAGATGTCATCTAGCACAGGAGCATTAACATCAGTGGCTGACATTACTGCAAGATGTCATCTAGCACAGGAGCATTAACATCAGCTGATGACATTACTGCAAGATGTCATCTAGCACAGGAGCATTAACATCAGCTGCTGACATTACTGTAAGATGTCATCTAGCACAGGAGCATTACCATCATTTGCTGACATTACTGCCAGATCTCATCTAGCACAGGAGCATTAACATCAGTGGCTGACATTACTGCCAGATGTCATATAGTACAGTAACATTAACATCAGTGGCTGACATTACTGCCAGATGTCATCTAGCACAGGAACACTGGCACGAGGTGATAACATGTGCCCAAGTCGACCCAGCCTAAAATGGGTAACTGGGAAGTAAAAATGGTGTGTATGGTGTTGACATTGTCTCCCATTGGGTGTGGATGTGTCTAGACAAAATAGTGGTCTGGAACTGCTGTATATACTGTGTACCAGTGGTGTGAGAAGGGCCCTTTTTTGTTTTGTGCTGGATATCTCACTCCTGAATAAGCCAGATCATCAAGGGATGTCTCAGTAAATTTTGAATAGTTTTGTGTTTCATAATGTTTATTTTGCTTTCTTGTTTCTGGTTACTAAAGAGCATTACGAGAACAAAACAGACGACTGAAAGAAAAATATGAAAAGTCTGACCGGTATCTCCGAGATGCAGAAGATGAGCTGGAGAAAATGAAAGTGAAACTAAAGAAGTATAAAGATATGTGTGAGCAGCAGGAGTTGAAGGAGAGAGAGGAACTCAGCCGTAAGCTGGCACAAGCAGAACTAGATCTGGAGGAGAAAGATGTCAAACTCAAGGTAAGATTCGTTGGGGATTATTTTGTTTTCTTTTTTCTTTTTATATTTCTTTCCCTTGTCTTAACTGTTCATTTTTTTTTTTGTCTTGTAATATCTGCCTCTTCTTTTGCCATGAAAAGGGTGGTTAGTACACTGTGGTCACATCTAGGAGGTAATATCCATGCCTTTCGACCCAAAACATCAGCAAATTCCTAATTAATTGTATTTTATGTTATGCATGTAATGGGACAATGTGCCTATCTGGTTGCTGTTTCATTCCCTCCAGGAATTCAGTCTGCAGGGTTACCTCAATAGTGAGAAACAAACAGGCACAAATCCTGGAAACCTCATTCAGCAACATAACAGTTGTACTGGGAGCTCTTCAGCTTAAATAGTAACATGAACTCCAGACTGGGCAGGGATTTTAGTGGGCCACTCCTTCTTTTCCCTCCTACGCCCCCACCCCAAACAAACTGGGGCTTCAGAACTCACCAAAAGATCTTGGAATTAAAAAACAATAGATTTGTTTAGCAGTTCTTCTATTTTCTACTTCTTTACTTTACAGCTATGAATGCCAACAAGTAATTTGAATATAACTGCATTGCTGTTTCTGTGGTCTGATGCACTTCCTATTAGTTGGTGCATTTAATTTGTACATGTTTATCTCAAAGTTCTTGTTTGTTTCTATTTCTGTTTCCATTGTTTCCTATGTTATCATAATTTATACCATCCCAGTGCGCGTTCCAGGGGGCCACACTGTGGGGGAAAACTAGAATAGACCCACTACCTCTCCGATAGTATGTTGTAGGAGTCGACTAATTAGGAGCTTCCTTCAGCGTTGGAGTGCATCTGCCTGAGAGGCGAGGAACCAACAGTCTGCATACAAATGAGTCAGATCTGTAAAATGGATATGCACACAACACTCAGGTTCTGGAAAAGGACTACAGTACAGAAGTGGAAAAACAACCAGAACTTTCCACCGGAGTTTACAGCTGGTGTAGACGAAGAAGAAAAGAATCTCTACCAATGTTACATTGAGCATTCCTATACCTGCTTAGTCCTCCGATGCAACACCCAGTCCAGGGTACTTCTTCTGATTGTACAAACACTTGGCTAACATGAACAAAATTAGGGCCGCAGCAGGGATCTATTGTTTATAACATATCTCTTAGTCCCTGGTCAGCAGGAATCTTTGTAACACAGACTCTTGTTTTTTAGAATTTATGTTAGCAAAGGTTTACTTATGTTTATGGGGGTCCTCCGTGGTGAAGTGGTCAAGCTGTTTACCTCAAGCTCTGAAGGTCGTGGGTTCATTTCATGGTGGTGCTGTTCAGTTCACGAGTACAGTTTTATGGAGATCCCTTGGGATCATATTCGGAGCTATGGAGGTCGTGCTCTGTATGACGCTCTTGCCAGGCAACTAGCTGTTCTGCAGAGGGTGACTCAGCCATATAGGATAAATGCCTGTGAAATGAAATCAATCCTCTCACCTTTACGTTTACTTTCACTGTATTTAATTCACTCCACCCCAGAAAATGTTCAATATATTTAACTCTTTCAGTCCCAAGGAATGCATCGTTCATAGGTTCCTATCTAGACGCCCAGTGAACGCAAAATGTGCTGATTTTACATCTTTCTTTACTACTCTTTGGGCCTCTGATGCTAAACCCACTGGGACCCAAAGAGTTAATGAATGCTTGATTGTTGTTCGCGCAGTACATATACTTATAATGTTATTTCAGTTCTAACATATGCCAGCAAAAGATGGAGAACCAGTAACTATACGGAACGAAAGTTGAGCATTTGACAAATATATGAAAAATCATCAACATAAAATGGGATGAACTCAAAAAGAGTGAGGAGATCAGAGAAATGTCTGGACTTATACCTGCATCGACTGCAGTAAGACAAAGAAGGTAGAGATGTATTGGGCACACTCTGAGGAAATAAGCAAAGAATTACCAAACAAGCACTGAAATGGGAATCGACAGTCTGAGAAAAAAGAGGATGTTCGATGGGAACATTAAGAAGAACATTATTAATATAGGCTAAAAATGCCAGCTCAACTCCATATTAGAAATCGAGAGAGTTATATGCGATAGAGCGGAGTGGAGGAATCGAATATGAGCTTGTTGTGACTTCAAATGGCACACAAAGGATGATGAATCTGTCTAACTAAAAATAATAAGACACAGAGAGAGAAAGAGTTCAAGTAACACCTGGAGCAGAGGTTATTGTAACAAATTTATTGTCATAAAGAGTCAGAAAAATGCTGAATGTCACTTGTTATCAAAAAATACAGGGAGGGTTCCTAGATACTGAATGAATGTAATCAGTTGAGCGTCTGTCATTGTTATGTTTTTTTTGCAGGAGCTGCAGAGGTACATTGACATGTTGAAGAAGAACCATCGACATGAACTTGGAATTGAGGTGGCCAGACAGAAGGAGATGAAGAAACAATTGGAAGAACTGACAGAGAAAAACTCACTTCTAGAGAGTCAGCTTAAGGTATCTTTTTTTTTTTTTTTTATAGATCATTGAACATGTGCAGAGCACACTCAGTTATGCTGACCTATGTCTGTTCTATTTTAGGACATATTTAATGAACATTTCAACAACCTTAACATATTGACTCATGAAGGCATATTTATAATAAAAAGAAAAATGGACAAGGACAAAGAAAAAGAATTAAAAGTTTAAACAGAGTAGATCCACTTAATTGAACCAGGTTTTAATCATGGTCTCTCTACATACCCACCTGCAGAGAGTGTTGCACAAAGCACAGATTCCATAGTTTCAGCCACGTTCCCCACAAATGTAAAAAATGACACTTTTGAACTGAACAATGCAGCCTGTAAAATGAATTAGCAACTTTTAAAGCATGGACAGTGGCTTGACCAGAAGGAATGATGGCATTAAAAAAACAGGTCAGATAAATTAATATCAACTTATGCAATGCATTAGAAAGAGCACTTTAAAGATCATTACTCCAACAGCTCATAGGGGAACGAATGAACAAACGAACAAACTTTATTTTTAAAGGGTTAAGAATTGGGCACGCAGGCCCGTCTAACATTCTGCTCTTCGAGGACTCCCTCCATTCTTACATTATTTCATTTATTCATCAAGTAATAAACATTATCAATGGTATCAAAGTATTCATTACAAACACTGAAATGTCCACATTTCTTAATACAGTAAATCTTAGTGGTTGTAGTAAATCTAGAGAAAATGTGCACCATTTCTAACAGAATAGACAGTTAATCTTTAGTTTTGGTGTGAGAGTATATTCGTTTTTTTTTATTTATATGCTGTGTCAAAGTTTCTTTTGCAAAATTATTTATAATTTAATATATATTTTTGGGGGAGGGGGGGGGTAATTTATTAATAAAATTTATGATTTGGAAGTCTCATAAACTTTTCAAACTAAGGAATTTGTACTGTCTATGAAATCCAAGAGAACAGTTTTCTCTTTTTTTTTTTGGGTGTGCTTCTCATTGCTGTATGTGTTGTTCGTAAGTTCATATTTTGAACCTCATATAAGTTTCACAAGTTTGTTTTGCTGCTTCAGCCCATGTGATTGAGGCTTATTCCATAAAGGCCCACCTACTCCAGTGTAGACTGGCCTCCCTAGTTGGTTCAATCCACTTCTTTTTTTTCATTAGAGCGAGTCTTTTTGTGCTTCTTGATTAAATTTTCTTATTTTGAGCTTGACTTCTGGGTAAGCCTGGTCTCTAGTATAATCCTCACCCCCAAAATACTGGTTCATTTTCTAACCTGATGACTATTATGCTTCATGTGGATAAGAAAAAAAAAATAAACTTCCAGTGAGTTTTGTTTGTTTTAGATATGACAGTTTCTGACTAACAGTAGTTAGTAGTATTTTCTCTGTTATCACAGGATGTTGGACAGCATAACGAAACCTGTCATCACACATTGTGCCAACGTCAGACAGAGAAGTGCATAGGAGAGGAGACTAACCCTAATCTTACTTATGCTAGGATGAGGAAATATAATCTTAAAACAATTTATGATAGGGCAGACGAGGCCCATAGACTTAGCTGGCAGCTGGCCCATACAGGTATCTCCGACTGGCGGACAGACAGAACACTGCTCTTCTGTTCCGGCAGCCTCTTCTGCAGCATGCTTTGTTTTGTGTTGTGGAGATGATGAAACTCATCCCTGGCCTGAATATTGGCCTTGATTAATATACCTCTCTATGTATCACAAATAATGCTATCATATGGAGACGGTGATAATGAAAGTTTTATACCCCAGTTATCTACTTTCTCTGACTTTTCAATAATTAGGGAGCTGTTGTGGTGTTTTCAATGGCTGTCTAAACAACACGTTCATCAACACATATTTGTTCTATATAACTCTTGTTCAGGAAGGTTGTTGGAGAATTGTAGTGACCCCATTTAGTAAGGTCAGTTATGTAAATTTTGCAGACTCTGGGCTATTTTATGCTGCTCTCATAAACTCACTATCTGCTTTACTGATTGAGCAGTTAGAAAAGCTGAAGATGTTATTTAACTTCTACCAGATCATTGGTACAGAAAGTGTTCTTCAAAAACACATTTGGTGAATTATTAGGCGAAATTTGTGTCTTTCATTTTATCATAATTTTTTTTTTCAGGAGAAAGAAAAAGCACTGGATTATTTGAATATTTACAGTAACCCCCACCAAGGAAGACCATCCCGAGACAGCTCACCAGATGGCAGCACTTTGGGTCTCAAGTTCAAGAAGAAGACATCGGCTGTGCCAGAGCTGACTCCCAGGGAGAAGGCCAAGTTTTACTCAGAGAAACGACGATCGGAGCTTCTCAGACAGAAGGAGGTCAGTTGTATGTTCTCTAATGACTAGAAGTGTCCTGAGAATTAAATATCTCATAAATGATAATAAAAAAGTTTTTTTTTTTTTTAAAGTAAAGATCCCTTTTCACGCCTTTAGGCGTAGTCAGGTATATTTGAAGAGTGCCCATATTTTTTACAGACCATCGGCACTCTGTGGGTAATGTGGTCAGCATTACGCCAGCTGCCTTTACTTCCCCAGGACAGCCATCCTGGTACCAATTTTAGGCTTGGTTGACCTGTGACGCCTCATACCATGGAAAAAATCCACGTTTCGATCATGGTACCTTGGAATTACGAGTCAAGACTCGCAAGGCCCAAGTCACGGGCGCCCCACTAATGATGATAGTTATGCTTAATACATACTTCTGTTGCTACAGTCAACATGCAGGTTATATTTAGTCTATCTCTCTTAAACTCTTTTCTCACCCTCTTTCTCACTCACTCACCGCCTCCCTGTTTCTTAATCTCTCATATTCTTTCTCTCCCTCTACCTCTTTCATAACCTATTGCATTCTCTCTCTCACTCTCCCCCCCCCCCCCCTCCTTTTTGTTTGTTCTATTGTACTATTTCTTTAAACTGTCTGTCTTATATCTCATGTCTGTCTACATTGTCGCCTTCATGTCTGGTATCCTCTCTGTGCTAGGTTTCATATGTCTGATATCTTGACTATGCTGTTTCATCAACATGTTTGGTATCTTTACAATACATTTTATTTCATCCAAAAATCAGGTTTCTTGGCTATACTAGTGGTTTCATCATGTTTGGTATCTTGATATTACAATAGATTTCGTCCAATTATCAGGTTTCTTGGCTGTACTATTGGTTTCATCAACATGTTTGGTATCTTAACAATACAGTAGATTTAATCCAAATATCTGTTTTTTTGGCTATTGGTTTCACCCATCTTTCTGATTTTCCTGCTCTGTCAGAATTTCCTCTCTCCTATAAGCATGATATTTTACCTATAATATCAGAATTACCTGTCTGTCTGATATTTTGCCTTTAGTATCAGAATTACCTGTTAGCCTGAAATTTTACTTATAGTATCAGAATCACCTATCTCTCTGATATGTTACCTATAGTATCAGAATTACCGGCTCTCCTTTAAATAACGGTCGCTAGCTGCAAGGCGACGGTCGCTTAGTCTGAGTTCACTCCCTTGGCTGCAGTGCAAATACGGAGTGGTAAAGAAGGAACGAAACAAATGATATAGTTACCTGTCATCCTAGGGTTAGGCTTAGGGCTTGGGTTAGGGTTTTGGTTAGGGTAGGGTTAGGGTGACACATCACGGACACGACGGAAGCTTATCGCTTATTACAACATACAGATCCGCAGGTCTCACATCTACAGTCACTAAGTCGTGCGTCGGAAGTGCGCGGTCACTAATGTAAGTCGCAGGGCGTGGACTACGAGAGTCTTGCGTCGCAAGACAGCGGTCGCTACTGTCAGTCGCAGCGTGTGGTCTAGCTCTAGCAGGCATGTCTACCTCACTTTGTTTTTTGATTTGTGACTTGTCCGCTCCGTATTTGCACTGCAGCCAAGGGAGTGAACTCCGACTAAGTGGCCGTCGCCTTGCAGCTAGCGACCGTTATTTAAAGGAGAGCCGAATTACCTATCTCTCTGATATTTTACCTATAGTATCAGAATTACATATCTCTCTGCTATTTTACTTATAGTATCAAAATTACCTGTCTCTCTGATATTTTGCCTATATCAGAATTACCTATCTCTCTGAAATTTTGCCTATAGTCTCAGAATTACCTGTTAGCCTGATATTTTACCTATAGTATCAGAATTACCTATCTGATATTTTGCCTGTAATATCAGAATTACTTGTCTGCCTGATAATTTACCTATAGTATCAGAATTACCTATCTGATATTTTGCCTATAATATCAGATTTACCTACCTCTCTGATATTTTACCTATAGTATCAGAATTACCTATCTCTCTGATATTTTGCTTATAATATCAAAATTACCTATCTCTCTGGTATTTTACCTATAGTATCAGAATTACCTGTCTCTCTTATATTTTGCCTATAGTATCAGAATTACCTATCTCTCTGATATTTTACCTATAGTATCATAATTACCTATCTCTCTGATATTTAGCATATAGTATCATAATTACCTATCTCTCTGATATTTTACCTATAATATCAGAATTACCTGTCTCTCTGATATTTTACCTATAGTATCAGAATTACCTGTCTCTGATATTTTACCTATAATATCAGAATTACCCATCTCTCTGATATTTTGCATATAGTATCATAATTACCTATCTCTCTGATATTTTACCTATAATATCAGAATTACCTGTCTCTCTTATATTTTACCTATAGTATCAGAATTACCTACCTCTCTGATATTTTACCTATAGTATCAGAATTACTTGTCTCTCTGATATTTTACCTATAATATCAGAATTACATGCCTCTCTTATATTGTACCTATAGTATCAGAATTACCTGTCTCTCTGATATTTTACCTATATTATCAGAATTACCTATCTCTCTGATATTTTACCTATAGTATCAGAATTACCTAACTCTCTGATATTTTACCTATAGTATCAGAATTACCTGTCTCTCTGATATTTTGCCTATAGTATCAGAATTACCTGTCTCTCTTATATTTTACCTATAGTATCAGAATTACCTGTCTCTCTGACATTTTGCCTATAGTATCAGAATTACCTATCTCTCTGATATTTTTCCTATAGTATCAGAATTACCTATCTCTCTGATATGTTACCTATAGTATCAGAATTACCTATCTCTCTGATATTTTGCCTATAGTATCAGAATTACCTGTCTGCCTGACATTTTACCTATAGTATCAGAATTAACTACATGATATTTTTACCTCTAGTATCAGGGATCAGCTTGATATTTTACCTACAATACCAGAATTCCCTATTAACCTGATATTTGTGTATGTCAATACTGTATATGATATACTCTGTCCCAATGTGATCCTCATCCGTGTGGTGGCACTTTGTGTCACTGGGTGTTTTTTGCTCGGTGTGATGTCCGGGTGGGCTTGAACGTTAGTCAGTTGTAGGTTTTTATGTGACCTTAAATCCAAACCAGAGGGGTGTTTGTGGTAGCATGCTTGCTTGCTGATCCTGCAGTAATAAGTTTGAATCTTTATCAGTCGGATTTTTGAAATTGACATGGGGTCCTAGTTCGACCCAGCCTAACTAGGATACCAAGCAATTTCATCAAAAGTGAAGGCAGCTTGTGTGATTCAACAACTCAACAAATTAAATGCTAATTAGTTGATACAAAATACAGGGTTAGCACCATATGCCCATTGTGCCTCCGATCATGGAAATTGAACCTTTCATCATCATCATAAAACCAACTCAGTAGGCAAATGGCAGCAATTCGAGGAAAAATTATGTGTCAGTAGAAACCAAAAGAGAGCACCCTATGAAACAATCTTCTTGCCAACCATGTGCTATCAATACCAGATCTGGACAATGAGAGAAAAAAGGAAAAGAAGAATTACAACTGAAATGAGTTTCCTGCAAAGGGCTCTTATTATGACACTAAAAGATAAGATGAGTTGAGTCAAGAATTGACATCACAGCACTATGACAATTCCCATGCATGCTCCGCCCTCATCTTCAGTAGCCAGCGCAAAGTTCCAATACTAACGGTACCGGTCACAATCTGGTTATATGTCCATCTTGTCTTTCTTCTGAGTGCAGTGAGCTGGCCAAACCCTCTGGTCACACTCAGGTGCCTCATTCTCTCCATATCCATTGCTTGTTCCCAAAGGGCCTTGACCACATCTGCCTCATCATGTAAGATCAGAAATGATTAAAGCCAAAGAAAAATAGGGGTAGTGGCAGCTTTGTATTTCATTAGAGAAGAAGTTAAATGGTTTGGCCATGTAACGGGGATGCCAGCAAACCGTATTCCACAGCAGGCAATGATGTACAGACCAGGCGGGAAGCAAAGATGAGGCCGACCATGCAGATGATGGACAGACAGAATAAGAGGCCTTGGGAATCCCCATTAACAAATGGACACTTTTTGTGTAAATGATATTTCACCTCAACATTGCAAGGGGATTGAGATGAGATAATGGTCACCATATCTTGCCATGCTGATAATCATAGGCTGCCATGTTTTGCCATCTCACACGATCACTGGAATCATCGATCAGGTAGGTGTTCTTGTCTTGCCCCCATCCATTTTACTAAGCCGTCTAGGTATTTATCTATTTGTCTTCCTCTTGCTATTTGTCAATCAATCTTGCCAATCATTACTAGGTTCTTGAGTCCGTTTCTTCTGGGGACGTCTGTAAAACAGTGACTGTCTATGTCTGTTTTTCTTCATTTTGCTTTATGCCTATTTCTCTTTACTTTTTTTGGTTAAAATAACAGCTAGCATTGAAACTTTTATTAGCCCCGACACTTTTTGTCTGATTGTAAGAGAATGTGTGTCTTTATTTTCAGCTGAAAGAAGACAAGGAGAGAAAGAAGAAGGAACAGTGGGAGATGGAGGAAAAAGAAAAGGAGAAAAACACATCAAGTAGTTCTCAGCAATTTGTTTTTGGTAACAAAGATCAAATATTTGATGAGAATGAAGAAATCAGGTTAGAAGAAGAGAAAAGACAAAGACAAGATAGAGAAAATAGAGAAAGACGGGATGAAGAATTGATCAAGAAACAAAGAGTAAGTAGTCAACAATACTGTTTCAGTCACCTTCATCTTCTTCTTCTTCTTCATCTTCTTCTTCCTTCTTCCTTCTATTTCTGCTATTGCTGCAGCTGCTGATTCTGCTGCTGCTGCTGCTTGTTTTTCTACTTCTCCATACATAAAGTACTCAGATCTCCATTGAATCTGACATTTATGTTTTAAAGTACATGAGCTCCCAGGCTAAATCTACCTAAACCGAGTGCCAGAAAATGTAAGAAGTCAAGTTTTTAAAAGTCATATCCTTCACAGGATGTTGCAGAACCAACCCTAAATTTTTCTTCTTTTTTTTGGCTGGAAGAGGGGGGGGGGGCTTGTCATTTTACTAGACATAATTTTGGGCTCAGTGATTACCCTTGCTTACTGAATGGTCGACAGATTTCACACAGGTGGGATGAACCGGGCACCCTGGATGCAGCACATCCAGAACGCCTAAGCCACAGATGTCAGTGAGAAGTAAAGAATTTTTGAAGAATGAGATATAGAAACGTGAATTTCCTCATTTTGTGGCCTAACTTATCAAAAAGCAGATAATAGAATTCTTCTCCTCATTTTTTAGCAAATTAAAGTGGGTTGGCCATCTTTGAACTATCATTATGATGTCACTGTGTTTGTCTGCACTGTGATGTCACATGCTGAATGCTCTTGACATCCTTAACAACAATATTCACAAGTTACAAAACAGTCGCTTAGTTAGAGTAATGTTTTCATTCGAAGCCCCTTTGTATAAACGTGAGGACAGAAGAAAGTATTTTAAAAAGATCTACAAAGTCATTAACACCAGGATAATAATAATAATATAAAATAATTAATTATTAACAGAATATATACCTCAAAACAGAAGCAGGACTAACAAACGAGAGGAAGTTAACATAGTGGTAGCGTAATGTTCAGCTGGCTTGCCTATCAAGACTGAAGATTTGTTTAAACTTCCAGCTGAGGCAGATTTCAGTAAAATAATTTTTTTGTGGTTTTTTCAGTGTCATAAAAGTTGGTGTCAGTTTTCAAAAAGTTCCTAGACAGAAAATGGGATGAGGAAGGGAAATGGTCAACCCATCTCAAAAATGAAGACCTAAAACTTTGTGCCCCAGCAGCAACACTACAGGAAAAAAAAATTTATTTTCAATGTTAGACCAATTATTTTATAATGGTCATTTGTAGGGATGTATGTTGATACATTTGTTGACTTTCAAGTTTAAAAACAGCCGCCATTTTGATGAAAAAACAACATGTACTTGCACAGATAAAATTTCAAAAACAAACAGAGGTATTGAGAAACAAATGATTGATTCATGAACTTTAAACCTACATTTAAGGTGAGGTCTAGTTTATTTACTTCAAAGATGTTTCTAAATATTTATTTTAGAATATTAAAATTTAGGTATGTTAAAAAAATACAAAAATGTAGCTTTTTAAGATAATAATCAAGTTTAAAAAAATTACTTAATAAACTGTAAATTTAAATAGACCTGACCCTATAATATTGTGTTAGGAGTATCCACACCAAATTTCACGTCTCTAGTCTTTATATTAGCTGAGATTTTAGGAGATCCCACACACAACAAACAGAAAAATAAAATTGTTAAAAATGTGACTTTTAAACTATTTTTTATCTCAAAAAAGTGCATGGGTTGGTGTCTTTAGTATTAACTTTTCAATGTTAAATTGTTTGAACCAAAGGATCAGGATCTGGAGGGCTCGGGCATATCTCAAAATATGTGCTGATAAGAAACACCCACTGCATCAAGCGCTTTTTATTGAAAAGGGCGACAGACTGAAGAGGGGGAAATCGTGGCTAGGTCGGGCAGAAGATGTTATTAGGCAAATATGCAGCCTAACCGACATCACACCTGGTGCAGAATGGATACCTGTGCCTCAGGCGTTTATTTGTACATTTTCCTGTATTGTCACACTCAACAGGCGATGTAGAGAAGATAATCCTGTTGCTGTTAATGCAGAGGTCAACGCTCTCATAGGTGAAAATTCAGACGAAGCAGATGCAATAATCTATACAGACGGATCCGTTATACGCCAAAGAAGAAGCGCATGGGCATTTACAGCACGCTCAGCGGGCAGAACAGTCAAAGAAGCCAACGGCGCCTTCTCCATGACAACCAGCAGCATGACGATGGAGGTGATGGCAGTGACGCAAGCGCTTGCCTGGCTTGAAACACAAAAATACACCCGCGTGTGTATACTCAGTGATTCAATGAGTATGATCTGGAGGGTTCAGGCAGGTTCAGTGCGAAGACAATGGCTTGAATCATTACAGAAGTCCACTGTGCGTGGAGTCACCTTTATTTTTGTTCCGGGACACACAGGCGTCGATGGAAATGAAAGAGCTGACAGGTTGGCTGGATCCGCTATCACTACCGACGGTCAGCCTATGGATCATGCTGATATTATCAATGCCCTCAGAGAAATGGGAAGGATAGAGGACTTTGGTGGCAGTAAATCCACATCACTCGCCAGAATGGCAGACTTGGGAATTAAGATCGGCACAGCAAAAAACGAGACGCACACCAGACACGCCAGAAGACTGGTTAATCAACATAGAGCTGGTACTATTAGCCACCAATTTGGTGTGAAATCGGATGCCGCCGAAACACATTAAAAAATTGAACTTTTGAAAAAATGCGAAAATGTGTACCTTATGTTAAAAGGTTCTAAAACTATATAATTTAGAGTTCTGTATTTTGCTCAAGCTTTTAAAAGCTGCTGATGGCTTGCCACTGTGTGTCATAGTTTATTTTCCTTTATTAAATTAAGAAATTAGATCAAACAAATCAAAAGTAAATTATTACTTACTTGCAATAATTTACCATTCTTCTTTACAGGAGTTTGAGAAGAGATCAGAACAAGACAAGCTTGTCAAAATGATCAATGGAACTAGAGACAAGAAGGAGAGAGAGGAGAGAGAGAAAAGAGAGCTACATGAAAGGGAAAATACGAGACAAGAAGAAAAAGAGCGGAAAGAACAGAAAGAAAGAGAAGAAAAGGCAAGATTAGAGGTTGAAAGAAGAGAACAACAAGAGAGAGAGAGGCAGCAGGAGGAAGAAAGGAAAGTGGAAAGAAAAAGGCAAGTGATGCTGGAAGAAGAAAGAAGGCAGAAGGAGAAAGTGGAGCATGAGAGAAGGGTACAGATGGAGAAAGAGATGTTGGAAAGTGATCCAGTTTGGCAGGCAGAGAGAAAGAAGAAAGATGAGTTGTTGAAGAAGTTACAATCAACAAATGATTATGGAAGTGCAGACGTGGACCCATTCTCTCCAGTCTCACCGAAGAAGAGCAAAGACCATCACCTTCACTCTGGTGGGGTCAAGGACACATCAAACTCTCAAGGTCGAAAAGGTGATTCAAAAGAGTACTCCTTCACACAGCCAATCAACAACTTGCACAGAGGCAAACCAGCACATGAAGACATCACGGTGCCATATTTAGAGCGGCAGAAACAAAGACGCCGAACATCCAATGACTCTGGGGGTTATGAACCCTCATTTGGCCCTGCTAGAGGCGAAGCCGGCAAGGCTGACAAGAGTAAGCCTGTGCCGATGTTTGAAGACGATGATGAACCCATGTTTAAGTTACCAGCTAATACAACCTCCATTTCATCAACGAAACACCAGGACAAGAAACCCACAAATCTTCTTGAGACCTTGTTTGGACCTCAAGCTAACAACCCAGACAAGACATCCACTAGCAACAAAGAAAAAGATCAAGTACTTTCCAGAAATGCCTCCCATTCTTCCACAAACAAAATCAAAGCAGCAGACACAACAAACTCTCCCTACCATCACTCCAGTCCACAGTCAAATAAACTTAAATCCGATATTGATAAAAAATCCACCATTTTTGGTGGAGGTGCCCTGATTGAGGACGAATTTTTAAGCAACAACAATAAAGTGTTGCCACGACGACATCGAGAATCAAACCTGAACACATTTTCTGCCAAACCATCCGTTACTGCAATTGATACATGTGAAGATGAAATTGAAGAGTTTGTATTGTGATGATAATAAGAACAATATTAACAATGCACAGATATCCTGTTATTTGTATCATTGAAAGTCTGTGATAGTCTACAAACTACCATTTGTACGTAGTTATTTATTTATTTCAACATGTTTAGTATATGTTGATTCAAGGGATGAATGGCCAGATCTTATTATATATTTTTTTATGCATTATTTGTTTACTGTTAATGCCTTTTATATGCCAGTTAGCTTGTTTTGGTTTTTTTGTCTTGTCAGTTTACCTTTAGAAAAGTGTGTATACATAACACCCTCAACTGTATAATAGATTGTGTTGTATTTTGTGTATACAGTTTATTGGCTGACCATCATAACTGTGCGTTTTTATTGTTTGATTTTTGCTGAAATGTTAATTCATATTAATGTTGCTCTTCTTCTTCGTGTTTGCAAGCTGTAAACTAGAGGAAAGTTCTCGTGTTTTTTTTTTGTATCCACTTCTGGACTTTAATCTTGTTCCAGAGCTTACGTTTTGTGTACATATCTGTTTTGCGAATCTGGCTTATTTGTACGTAAACTGTTGGATCAATGCCTCTGAGACAGATGAACTCTGATTTCAAAGGAAACCCCTAATCCACTTTTACAACATGCTTGTTAGCAAGGCAATATTTCCATTCTTTTCTTTGTTTTTCATAATGGGGCTTGGAAACCCACACAAGGAGTATTAATGTTAATAATGATTCTCTTCTGCTGCCTCTTACATCCCAATGGAGCACGCCTTCTCTTTCCAAGCCCTTATAACTTGCTAATTATTATTTTGCAGAACCTTGCACCCAACCTTCCGGATAACTTCTCGATCACAAGCAAGATGTCCAACGTCCAATACACGCATCTGGAGATCATCCGCAACATCTTGCTCCCATCTTCTCTTTGGCCTTCCTTTTCCTCTCTTCCCAGGCATATAACCCTTTATTATTGTTTTCTCTAAACTTTTGTGACGTTTCAAGTCACCAAAATATTTCAGTTAAATATGAATGTCAAGGAAAAAAACAAAAGCATGGATGGTAAAATGCATGTGCACACACACTTACTCAAGCATTCACTCACTCCTCACTCAAACACACAAACATACACACATCTATATATATATATTAACAAAGTAATAGAACATATATATATATATATATATATATATATACACACACACACACACACACACTCATATGTACAACAATCAGTGTAACCCTCTTTTTGATATTAGGTTAAATATTATTTTGATGAATATGTTTCTTCAGGTTCTCTTTCTTTTCTTTATTATGTATTCTTATGTGTTCTGTAGTCTCTTTGACTCTACCATCTGTATTATACGTACTCACCTTTGCCAAGGATAGTTAATGAAAATTTCATTTTCCTTTCTTCTGCTTCTTCTTTGTCTCCATTTACAGCCTTATGTTTATTCATTATTTCTAATTCTCTTTAAGCTCCCCTAGCACCCCTTTCCCCTCCACAGGAAAAGTAGTGCCCTCTCCTAAAGCTCCCCAGCACGCCCCCCCCCCCCCCACCCCCCAACCCCCAAGGGGCAGTAGTGCGCTCTCTTCACAAGCTCTCCAGTGCCTCCAAGGGGCAGTAGTGCTCTCTCTTCAAGTTCCCCAGCACCCCACTCCCCATGGGGTAGCAGTGCCCTCTTTTCACGCTCTCCAGCACCCTAAATGAGATGGTGGTGCCTTCTTTGGAGAACACTGGAAATAGAACATTTGACCTAGAAATTACAGCCAAAATGACATGTGCAAATTTCACATAGCTATTGCTCCCTGTTGGGAAGAAATTCTTGTGATAGCAGACATGCACTTTCTGTTTTATGTTATTGACATTTATGTTGCTGGCAGTTATTTGCTTTTATTAACTCTTTCAGTTCCAAAACGTGACTAAGGATAAATAATAGACAGATAGCTGACACTCCCTAGGTCATGGGGCAGTGGAGTGGATGTTGAGCTGTCTAAGACAATACCAAAATTCTTCCAGGTCTGTAAACTGTTAGTGCACAATAATAATCCCGTAGTGCTGGGAACCAAAAAAGGCAGACCAAGAAGGACACCCATCTCCAAGCGGTGCACACCAGACAACTAAGGCCATGGTTTTTCAGGTTAATGGGGCTCTGGCTCGCCAGGTAGTAGTGAAAACATCTGGAGAAATATGCCCTTAAACTGCGACTGACCCAGCCAGCTGGCAGCGGATTAGATCTTGCTTGAAGAAACAACCTGCGGTTGTAAACACCGGCCTCTGCATGGCACATACCAAAGCTCGCCACCAATGCCTCTTCCAAACTTGACGCTGAAAGACAGAACAAGAATAAAGAATAAGAAGAGATGTACATGGGCTTCTTAGCTGCACAGGCTTGCAAGTTACGTTTGGGTGCGGTAGCTATTACATGTGCCCTAATTTTAACTTCTTTGAAGACAGAACGGAGTATCTGGGATCTGCTTTGTTGGTTTGCCATCCAGATTGAATTTTTTAAATTTCTGGATGGAATGATAAATCTTTAGGTAGCATCCTGGATGGGACAAACTGATCGATCGATCGAAAAACAAAATGGAGAAAAGCACTAGGGATAAGTGCGTGGATTTTTATCATGGTATGGGGCGTTGCAGGTCGACCCAGCCTAAAATGGGTATCAGGATGGCTGTCCTGGGGAAGTAAAGATGGCTGGCGTAATGCTGACCATATTACCCACCTAGTGCCTATTTGGTCTATAAAAATATGGGCACTCTTCCCATATACCCGATGCGCCTAAAGGTGTGAAAATGGATCTTTACTTACTAGAGAAAAGGATAAATACTTTGGAGGGATGAAAGGACATGGAATGAGCTGCACAAGCTGGAGAATGATAAAGATGCTCGGCATACGTCGAGTGAAGGCTTATGTTCCACTGGAGTACAAAGGGTAGAAGAAGAGGCAAAGTTCCATGGAGTTCCATGACCATTTGGTTTCACTAAAAGTGATCTTTAACCTGGTATCAGTGAGGTGACAAAAGAAAGAAGCAAGTAAGCCAATCAGCACACTCTATTTATGGCTTGGAAGTGAAAAAGATTATTTTTCCCCCTCTGATTATACAGCTGTCATGTTTTCAGGTACACCAAAGAATTATGTATCCACAGAAAGATGTTTATTAAACAGTTTTTATTGTTTATTGATACGATTGTATTCATATTATCAAAATTATATATGTTATAAAATTTGAGCTTCATTTCTTATTTTATATGTGTCATTGTCCGTGTCTGTTTAGTCAGGGAGTTTTGAATAAAAGTTTTTATGGTGGGGGTTAGGAGTCATCTAATACAGCTAAAGCTGAGTTTATGCAGTACAGTAAATGTTTTGAGGATGACATACAGAAGAGGTTAGGATGTCTTGAAGAGGCTCGCATAGCGCGCACGGCCTAGCTGTATATTACCATAACCACAGCTTATTAGCTAACAACTGACACCACAACAGATCTATGCAGAGACAAGATATTCTCCAGCTACTGGGCAATAGGGCACTCCCGCTATGCGCTGTAGGTGAACAAAGTGTGTTTTTTTTCCATGACCGACCTTAGGCAGACGCAAAATGGATGTCATGTGTGTTTCATATGTGTAGGTTTAAGTTTTGTTGTCATTGAGTAACATTAATACGTGATTTTTCCTTCACATTTGATTTACTTATAAGTGGTGTTTTCTGGGAATGTATTTAATAAGTTCTTCATGTGATTCTGTTTGGATTTATGTTCAATATACTCTGTTTTCGCAGAGCAGCATTTCAAAGGTAAGACTGACATACAATACTGATCTCTTAGTTTGCTAGTACATTATACCTTATAATATACTAGCTGTACCCGGCCACGCGTTGCTGTGGAATAGTTTGGCTAAATGGAAAAGAAAGAAAATAGAAATCGCACGTGTCTAATATGGTTACTGTCGCAATCATTGTCTGCTCAGATATAGAGATAGTCTTTGATCCCCCCCCCCCCCCCCCCCACCACCACTAAATCCACCTACTACTCTCTCCCTCATTAAAAGGTTTTTGGAAAAGAAAGACAATAGAAATCGCACGTGTCTAATATAGTTAAAGTCACAAACATTCTCTGCACAGATATAGAGATAGTCTGGTTGATTACGCACCATATAATTGTGTCTTTATATTTGTGATCATTTAAATGGTGTTATTAGCACAGTAACAAAAATGGTTATTTGGTTATCACATGCTAAAGCTGTTTGTATTTTTATAGGGACGGAAGTAAAGCTACTACTGTACTTGTAAATAACAAAGTCGTAAAAAAATTAGAAAAGCGGAGGGAGCGTTAGTAAAATATAAATAAATTAACTAAAGAGAACTTTAAAATCATGTGTTAAGCTCTTTAAGTTAACAATTATAGTCAATCCCCCCCCCCCCTCCCCCCCCCCCCCCCCCCCCCCCCCATCCCCATCCACTGACTACTGCTCTCTCCCTCTTTGAAGGATTTGAAAATCATCACCTGGCGTAATTTTTTTTTTTTTTTTTGTAACTGACATTGACATCCCTGTCCTTCCAGACTAAAATGGGGAGCAGGAATTGTAATAGGTAGTAAATGGGGCTAGTGTAATATTTACCACATCACCCTTCAAGTACCAGTACAACTACTACCACGACCACCACCACAGTAGCTAAAATAATGTCACTGCTATCTGTTTTATCATCGGAGTAGACAGGGAGTCGTGAGCCAGAAGATTTGGCGCCGCATGGCTAGTGCTGTCGCCACATCAGACTTGTCAGGTAAGCATTTTATTTTTGCTCCCCGCATGAAAAACGCCATAACCTTCCTGGCGGTCTTCGCATGAGAGCACTACGGTGTAATCGCCCAACCACAACTACTACTGCTGCTGCTACCAACTGAAAAGCAATGAAAACAGGAAAAATACACTATAATTAGGAAATGAACGCTATGGTTAAAAGCACAGCTTAAATTCCAACGCAGATGAAATAATTAAATCTAAATGAAAATAAATGGAAAGCTATGAAATTTCAGCGTAACCAGGCAATCAGAAAGTTTAAAATGATATCATAAGAATGCGAAATGGTCAAGTTTAATTACCAACTGGTTTACACACATACCTGTCTTTTTTTTTTTTTTTTTTTTTTTTAGTATTAGGGGCCACATGGCTAGTGCTGTGAGGATTTTATTTTGCCTCTGGGTTAAAAAAAATATTACTGCGGATTCGAACCCTGGTCTCCCGCACAGGAGCCTAGTGTTCTAGCCATTCGACCAATCAACCCCTCCAGCGAAAAGAGAACAGAACTATTTGAGATGTGTGTTCCTATTACTGTGTCCCGATTATAACACAACTCAAAACCGCAGGCAATTGTTTTCTCATAGACAGATATTTCAGATATATTATTGAAACGGCACGACAGAAATTGCACGTGTCTAACACGGTTAATGTCGCAGTCATTGTCTGCGCAGACGTTGAGATAGTCCTTGCCCCTCCCCCTTTTCCAATCCATCGGCTACTCTCCAAATCATCGAAGGTTGTTTGAAAAGACAGAAAATAGAAATCGTTTCTAACATGGTTATGGTGGCAATCATTGCCTGCACAGATATAGAGATAGTCTTGTTTGCTGTACCACGGCCTCATCTATTTATCAGAGAAGGCGTTGGCTAAACGTATCTCGCTGGCGAATGGTGGAAGTCTTGCGTTCTGACTAAGGCGCATGCGCATTTACTAACGTGGCTATAATTAAATGTCACTAAAAATTGAAATATTAGTTTCGAAAATTTTTCCAAAAATTGTGGTCACCTATCTCTAAAAATGACAGGTTGAATTTTAAACCATAATGGGTAAAACATCCGGTATCAAAACGAACATGTCCTGACAATTTCAGCTAAATCGGTTCAGTAGTTTCCGAGCCTATAGCTCATAAACAAACACACAAGCATTGATTTTTATACATATAGATTTGATATTAACATTTTATAAATTATTGAATATTACAAATTCAAAATGGGCTTCCATTCGCAAAATATTGCGAATATACTGGGTGGACAAGAAGAATATTGTGAATATACTGGACGGACGAGGATAAAATTGTGAATACACTGGATAGACAAGAAAAATATTGCGGATATCCTGGGTGGACAAGGATAATATTGCTAATATTATACTGGACGGACAAGGTTAATATTGTGAATACACTGAGTGGACAAGAAGAATACTGCGAATATCCTGGGTGGACAAAGATAAGATTGTACTGGGTGGGCAAAAATAATACTGCTAATATACTGGGTGGACAACGATAAGATTGCTAATATACTGGGTGGACAAAGATAAGATCGCTAATATACTGGGTGGACAAGAAGAATACTGCGAATATCCTGGGTGGACAAAGATAAGATTGCTAATATACTGGGTGGACAAAAAGAATACTGCTAGTAGACTAGGGTGGACAAGGATAATATTGCCAATACACTGGGTGGACAAGAAGAATTCAGCTAAAATATTGGGTGGACAAAGATAATATTGTACACATACTGCAGGATCTTACTATTGTAAGGCAGATGTAAAACCAACTACATATAACTTTATTTGAAAATTAGAACTGCAAATAAGACCAGTATTGTACATTGTGACAGACCAACACATTTATGTTTGCTGTATAGTATAGAGAGAAAGAAAAAAAACAATAATTTTAATCATCATTATGACCACATTATCTTCTTGATCATTGGGGATCAATTTTTAATCCAGTAGATGTCAATCATGTAATGGCTTGGTCAGATGGTCTTGCTTACGGCCTGAAGTACATATATCCACTGGCGTCCCGTAAAGATAACCGATAACCCATCTCATTATTCACACGTCAGTTATCCTTACTATTACTCATTGAAAGAAACTCTATTTTAATTCCTTATCTACTTCAATGAAACAATTTCCTTACAATATTTTTTTTTTATTATTTTTTTTTTTTTTTTTTTTTTTATTATTAGAGCAATACAAAATCATAAATATATTTCAGGGCAAGAAATTTACCGTTCACCGACCCTGCTTCTGTGGCAAACAAAGCAACAGGATAACGTGGGACGCATCTAAACACACCTAAACGCACGTGACAAGGTTTTTAATTGTGTGTAAATGGTTCAGCTGTGTCAGTTTAAGGTAACCTGTATTGTAATTTCACCTCCAAAAATTATGGTCATTAGCAATCCGTAAGGGAAGTCGAAAACGTGTTTTTACGTCAATAGCAGTGTGGGCACGGAAGACGTAGGAATACGTCCTTAGCAGCCTACGGGGCAGGCGTATAATTAATGTCCATAGCAGCGAAAGGGTTGAAGTCCATGGGAGGCGTGCAAAGAATAAGGAAGGGAATAAATTACTGAGAATACGGAGAGAACAAAGGTCCTCATTTGGGGTTCATTTCATGAAAATATACTACTGATATGAAAGATATTGAAAATCAGTAGTTGGAAAGAACAGTTGAATTAGGAATCGTCATCACAGAACACAGGACACTCCCATAAGAACTCCGTTCCCATCTTCAGCAGTAAGCGAAGAATTTCAATTCCGATGACACCAGTAACCGTCTGATTGTATATCCGTCTCACCCTTGCCCTGAGTGTTGAGCGTCGGCCAGATCCCCTGCTAACTCCTCGCAGCTCAGTTCTCCTCAGACTAATGATCTAACCGCGCCTCCGCACTGTTAACTCGTTCCCAAAGGGCCCTTATAATATTTAGCTTGTCATATATCATTTCACCACCAAGTGTGCAGTGTGCCAGTCTATCTGCCTGATCATTTTCCAACACACCAGCATGACCTGGAGAAAATATCCAATGGATGCTAACTACCCCGGACCTCTGAAATGATGCTTGCCACTCTGCACAAAGCATGCCTGTCTTCACCTTTCTCAACATGCTTTGTGAGTCAGTAACACTCACGGCATGTGTGTACAGCTGATTCACAAGGCAGCAGAGACTACTCCACCTCCATTCTCAAACTAGACCTTGTCCAGATGAACAATCAAAATGGCAAATGAAATGTTAACCTGTGCATTCGTCACTGTTTTGTGAGGAGTTAACACTTCATTTATAATAAAAACACAAAATATAGAAAGGGTATATATATATACATATATACTAATGAACCAACCCCCAAAAAAAAATCGAGTCTGAATGGTTAAATGTGAATTATTCATTAGTGTTTGTTTCGTTATAAAGAATCAACGTAAAGTTTTGCAGCGTCCATGGAAACATTGTTTTTAAATGGCGAAAAGTGAGTTTACATTTAATATTACATTCAGTGTAACCATAAATGTTGTCTACCCTTTACTGCTATCGTCTTTCACTGCATCCAGGTCTTCTTTGGTTGTATCAGTAGGTTATGGGAAGTAAGCAATGCGGTATATTATATACTTGATGAGTGTGGGTTTTTTTTTTTTTTTTTGTAATGTAAAGAACTTACTTTTTTACTACATATGTAAATATCCATAGTGGGTGGGGTTTTATTGCCAAGGTTTATGGATTTATGGACACTGTTTGAAAACAGAGAGCGTCGCCTGTAACGTCACAACATCCAGTATGAGAATGGAGGTGGAGGCAGAAGCAACAGATTTCCGACGGCTTGAGAGAAGCACAGCCCAGCATGTGGTCATTGTAACGGACTCACACGCCCGTTTAAGAAAACTGGAACGTGTCTTACGCCTAGAGCTGCTTGCTTCGCTGGATAAGACTCTGATCATCAGCATATCGTGGATTTTCTGTCTAGGACATTCGGTTTTGCGGGTTAATGAGAATGTCTGGCTGCTGTTGTTCCTCGGGGTGGTGAGCTACGGTATGATAAAGCGGAAGTAATGAAGAACCAGGTAACAATTCGTTGGTAGAGTAATTCGGCGAGAGGTAAACGGGGAGTCTGGAAGGTATTCAACACGATGGAGGAGGGGGGGGATAGATACACTTTTGATCCGGTTGCAACCCAACAGGTACTTTTAGCATATCAAATCTTCGTTGGTTACCGAAGAAGGAGATAAAGCTCATGTAGGAAAGTCCTGAGTGCAAGGATGTCAATTCTTGATTAATTTATTCATTCACTCAGTCTCCAATCCCAAATTTTTTTTTTAGAAGAGCCTGTGAATACACTTCTTATCTTCTTTTTTCTTCGCGTTCACATGCTCTAAACTCTGGCGGATAGTTTTGGTTCGTTGTCCACTTCTGGACTCTAGTCCTGTTCCGTAACCTTAGTGTTGCGTGCACATCCATTTCACAGATCTGACTCATTTGTATGCACACTGCTGACTCCTTGCTTCTCAGCCAGATGCACTGCGACCTAGAAAAAAGCCTCGAATTAGTCAACTCTTAAGACATGCTTTTGGGTAGGCAGCGGGTCTATTCTTGTTTCCCCCACAATGGGACCGCGGAACCCACACGGGGAAACACTTCTATTTTGATTGCTTACTAAATTAGTCCCCTGTCCAGCCCTCATATGGACACTGGAAGAGAAAAGAAAACGAGGAAGACTGAAATAAACCCTGCGTGAACAATCATCAGGGAAGCGTCAACCACGGGCCTTATGAACATCCATGATCTAAAACATGTGGCAACGAACCGCCAGACATGGACAGCAATAACATCTGCACAATGCGCCCCCTAGGATTACGAGGAAAGACTAACTAACTAACTTAGTCTCCACCACTTTGGCTCATTTCATTTGTCTGTTCTGTTATTTCCATATCTGGCGTCGCCTGAAAGACCCCAGAATGACTCGAAACAAACACCTGCCTGCAGCCAGAAAATACCAGAAGTTGAGTTTCCAGGTAAAGGAGACAGTTCTGACCTCACAACCAAAATGTATGCCGGTCAATTTGGCGGAGGAGAAGGAAAAGTTTATTTATCTTGGGAAAACGCCGCAGTTTAAATTACAGGATCCGTCTAAGGTCTGGTGCTGTAACTGTTATTCTTCAAACTCTTGTTACTGTTGTCATTGCTTTTGATGTTACTATTATTGATGCTGTTTTATTGTTGATCAAATTATCCTGTTTTTGTTGTTGCAGTTATGTTACTGTTTTTGTTGCTTTATAGTTTTTGTTATTGCTAGTAGTGTTATTGTTTATGCGCTGTTACTGCTGTTGCTGCCCTTGTTAACGTTATCGTTAATACTGCTACTGCATAGTTATTTGTGTTGCTGCCGTCGCTTGTGTTCTTGTTGTAAATATTGTCAATGCTATCTTTGTTATTGTTTTTTTGTTCGTGCTACTTCTTGAATGTTGTTGTTAATGTCATTGTTAATATTGCTAATGTATAGATTTTGGTGTTGCTGCTGTTGCTTGTGTTCTTGTTGCTGTTGTAAATATTGTTGGTGCTACTTGTTATTGTTTTTATTGGTGCTGCCTTTACTATTGTATGTGTTGGTGCTGCATCTGATATTTGCTGCTTTTGTTAATGTTGTTGTTAACTTTGTTGTTAATATTGCTACTATATAGTTATTCGTGTGTGTTGCTGCTGTTGCTTGTGATCTTGTTGTTGTTGTAATTATGCTGATGCTGTTCTTGTTATTGTTGTTGTTAAACTTTCTTGTTAATATATATTGTTTCTGCTTGTATTGTTGATTTGGTTATTACTTTTGCTGCTGCTCTGTTTATGAGACTAATAAACATCCAGGACCTACAACAGGTGGCAACGAACCAACAGACACGGAGAGCTATGACCTCTGCCCTATACGCCGCCCTAGACTCAAGAGGAAAGACTAACTAACTGTTATAGTTAAAGAACTGCATCTGTTTGAGTGGATCATGTTTGCACTGAACAACCGAGGACTGGTCATAGCCTGATTTCCATCTCAGTAGACTAGTAACCCCGAAGCAAGCCCATGAGCTCTCCAAGTGGCCAGTGCAAAACTTGGGTGCTGACTGTCTACAATCATGTTTAGGAATTGTTGCCACTTGTTTATGAATCCATAGCATGTAAAATGGGAATTACAGCAGGCAACATCACTAGATACCATGATCGCATATTCCTTTGTTCTTCTTCAAGCTCATGCCGTGTGGTAGTCATGTCTATCCACAACCTTCAGTCCCATATACTTTAAATCAACTCTGACACAGATGATCGTCTATGCCAGGATGTCAGACGGTCCAGCATCTGTTGTCTCGGTCTCTCTCTCTGCCTCTCTACCCCTCCAACTTTCCTACCGTCACGATATACTCCGGTTTTTTCTTTCTTATCACATGACCAAAGAATGTAGACTGTCTCTTTCTGATGTGGTCAATCAGTTCTCTTCCTATGTCATTTTCTTTCACGATGTCTTCATTGCTCTTTTTATCTGTCTGGGATATTCTCATCATATGTCTAAAAAACCACATCTCCGCAGCTTCCAAATAAGTTTTCACTCATTTACTGTCTATGATTCACATCCGTTTATCAGTATAGGATTTCAATCGCTTTTAAGAATTTTCTTTCTCGTCTCAATTGACAAGGAAAGATTGCATAAAATAATTCTTCATTTTGTGAAATGCTGCCTTTGCTTGAGCTATTCGACATTTAACTTCTTTAATACATCCTTTATCTAATGTTATTAGGGGAGCCAAGTACTTAAACATATCAACTTTCTTGAGGTTTATCCCATTTACTTTGATGTTGAATTTTGGAGGGTCAGTTTTCTTTGTAATAACCCTTACTTCTTTTCACTTTCCGTTACAGTTATATCTATTATTTCTTGCAGTTGGGTTTCATTTTCAGCGATCAAAACTATATCGTCAGCATTTCGCAGGTTGTTAACAATATGCCCACCAAGCGCTATTCCTGGCATACCATGTATGGATCTAATTATTATGTTACTGTACAAATGGAATAAATCGCGTGATAGCACACATCCCTATCTAACGCCTTGTTTAATGTTTTGAAAAGTTCCAACTTGGTTGTCAATCCTTATGGCTGCTTCTTGTAGCTTTTTCTGTTCCTTTGTTAGCCAAACTAATGTATGCACAGGATGTTTATTTCTCAGGTAAACAGATGTTTTGGTCAGTAAAAACCCTAACACTAGTTTATTATTGGAGCCATCGTGGTTTAGTGGCTAGACACTTGCCCGTGGATCTGAAGGCCGTGGATTAAATGCAGACGGAGCCATACTTTGTTCGTCCCCAAAATAACACTGGCTGACAGGTGGACCCAGCCAGAGAAATAAAGGCGGCCATTTTGGGCACATGACCCACTCAATGCCGATGCACAGTACCCCTGGAACAGTTGTCTTTCCTTTACTGGTTTATTAGCGGTCGTCCATCTCATTCTATGCAGAACATCATCATCATGTGTCAAGGAAGATCATGGTTCAGTCTTACAAAATCATCAGACACTGGCAACAAGTTTCTGTTGTTGTTTCATTCCGTCATGTAACCAGTTTATCAAGGCACTAGTCTCTTTCTTATTTTTTATTTTTATTTTAACCTATCCATTTTGCCAGTTGTTTTAAGTATGTTGAAATAAATTCCTTATTGCACCATGCCGAAATAATCATAAACTATGTCTAATTTATGTTATCACTTCATAGTATATTGGTTGTGGAATCACTCAAGCCATCTGTGTAGTCCAGTTTGTGTGATCTGTTCATGTTTGCATTGTTTAACAATTTTTTTTTTAATAATGTGTGTAGGATTATTTTGCATGTGCAAGCTTTATTATTTTGCCGAGACCTTCGTGCTTTTCACAAGATTCCAGTGGGACAATGAAGGACATTGTCTGTGATTTCCCATGTTTTTTCACTAATTTCGTGTTAGGATAATATTTTGGTGACCGCATAGATTGTGTTAAATGTTACGTTTTAATAGTATATCTTCTCTGTGTTGTGCAGCGTCTAACAGCGACAGGTGTTGTGTTGTTCGTCATTGCGTAAGTATTGTTGGTGTATTATGATCAGTAGAATCGAGTGTTCATATGGTTTTTGTGATGATTTCTATTCTCGGCACACTGGCTCCGCACTTGACGGAGGATCTGCAATCCTGGTTAGGTCCAGTGGCATAGGAAAAGAGCGTATACCGCATATGTGTGGGTTGCGGACCTGGGATTTGCCCATGGGAACCCATTGACATGTTTAATTAATGTAAAGCTAGCACTGCTGGGGTTTCGGGCAACAGGTGCCCACATAGCGGGAAGTCAACTGTCCTATTTTATATCTGTGATTTACATTAAAGACTGTTATGTGTGCTCTGTGTGTGTCCGGTTTCAGTGTGTACTAGGGTAGATCGTCTGTCACAGGCCCACATAGCGAGCCACGTACCATCAAGGTCAACTAGAGGTCGGTAACATGCTGCATGGAAGGGGGAAATCGAGAAGGGAATGGATACAAAGGAAAAAATAATTGCAGAAAGATTGAAAGCTGAGACTGAGAAGAATGATACTTCTTCTTCTTCTTTGCGTTCACCAGCTGTACACTCTGGCGTAAAGTTCTGGTTGTTAGTCCACTTCTGGACTGCAGTCCTGCTCCAGAACCTGAGTGTTGCATGTGCATCAGTTTTACAGATCTGATTCTATTGAATGCAGACTGCTGGCTCCTTGCCCCTCAGGCAGATGCACTCCGACTTCATAGGAAGCTCCCCAGTTAGTCGACTCTTACGACATGCTTTTGGGGAGGCAGTGGGTCTATTATAGTTTTCCCTACAATAGGGCCCCGGAACCCACACGGGGGTCAGAATGATACTAAATACACAGTGTGGCAAAAACGATCCTGAAATGCCATGCTCTGTGGAAGATTTTTCTTCACGAGGGCGTGTCTTGCTAGTCACACTCGCCATCAACAAGGGATGTGATTTTCATGTCTCCTCATGGCATAATATTGTCATCATCAAAAGGTGGAAAAGTATTTCAGGATCCTCCCCGGTACTACGAAGTTCGTGCATGCGCTGAGATTCTTCGGACCCATCTTGAGTTAGAAGTAGAACGGAGCCCTTATGGGTTCCCCCGTGTGTCATGATGTTGATCCGGAAAGGTGCCAACATGCGACCACTTCAATCTTACCTCTTCCATCCTATAATGTAGAATGAGTATAAATACCATAACGAACACAATTTTCCTAAAAGATTGCTTACAAGATATTTGTTTGCAGCTACATGAAGCAGCAGAGAAAGCCAAAAACCAGATTCGCTTTGATCTTCTGGGAGAAGCAATCCACATTCTGGAACAGGTTCTGAAAGAATACGGAGATGGTGAGATATACCTGGAACATGCTTTCGGGCCGCGAATCAACAAAGAAGAGGCTACTCCCATGTTACTGGAGTATATCTCCGAGAACTCTTTAACTGAATCTTTGACTGTGCACTGGTGTGACAACTTGGCTTGCAGGTGAGTGGGTTTGTTTGTGACCAATAATGGTATCCGAGCACAGATGTGTACACACTTTATGTGTGAGGAATACAGTGGTGTCCCCCACAGATGTAGACACATTATATTTGTGAGAATTAATGGTGTCCTAGCACAGATGTATGCACACTTTATGTATGAGGAATACAATGGTGTCCCGCACAGATGTATACACATTATATATATTAGAAATAATGGTATCCGAGCACAGATGTATACACACTTTGTGTGTGAGGTATACAATGGTGTCCCGCACAGATGTATACACATTATATATATTAGAAATAACTGTATCCGAGCACAGATGTATACACACTTTGTGTGTGAGGAATACAGTGGTGTCCCTCACAAACGTAGACACATTATATATATTAGAAATAATGGTGTCCTAGCACAGATGTATACACACTTTGTGTGTGAGGAATACAGTGGTGTCCCGCACAAACGTAGACACATTATATATATTAGAAATAATGGTTTCCTAGCACAGATGTATGCACGCTTTATGTGTGAGGAATACAGCGGTGTCCCGCACAGATGTATACACATTATATATATTAGAAATAATGTGTCCTAGCACAGAATTAGAAACCAACACAGAACAGGTGTCATCAGCTGCTACACACTGCGGGATTTCTTGAGGAGGGGATCCGAGCAGATTTAATTTGATTTGATTCAAGAGCCGACATCACAGCACTTGGGGCATTCCCATATGTGCTCCGTCCCCATCTTCAGCAGCCAGTGAATAGTTCCGATATTGATGGTGCCAGTAGCATACTGATTAAACGTCCGTCTTGCCTTTCTTCTGAGCCTGGAGCATCTGCAAGAACTTCTCGTCACTCCCCCGTGCATCAATCTCACCAGACTGTTGCGATCCATCTGCTCCTCCACACTGTACACGCTCTCGCACAAGGCACTAACCACGACGGCCTTATCATGCATCAGTATTCCACCAAGTTGTGCAGAGCCAGCCAGTCTGTCCGCGTGTTCATTTCCCAACACACCAGCGTAACCCGCTGAACAAATCCAGACTATACTCCCCACCAGTGTCCTCCGCAGCGAAGCATGCCACTCTGCACGAAACATACCTGTTCTGATCTTCCTCAGCATGCTTTCTGAGTCAGGTACAATCATAATGTGTGTGTGTATCGTGTTCTCTAGCCAGCGGAAAGCTGCAGTGACCACCTCTACCTCCATTCTTAAGATGGATGTTGTGGCATCATATGCTAGTCTCTCCTGCACCAAACGTCGACCATTAACTTTTGCTAAGAAACCCTAAGCAATTCTTTGCCTCTTGACACTGAACCGTCTATGTAAATGATCAAATCCTCTCAGCGAGCATTATCTTGAATTAAATGCTGAATTTCTACCTCCATGGTACCTGCTGGTCAGTCTCTTCATTCCCGGCACAGCGTGATTATGACCCTGCACAAGTCTGACTGTTCCGGTGGCACTTTGGCCCACTCCTCTCCTCAACTTATGTTTTAAAAGATGCAAACCTGTCTGATTGTGTCTTATGCTTGAGCCATCCATGACTTACCTCTTATCAGCCAATGACTCTTAACTGCACCAGAGCTTCGTGCAAAGGGTGGTCTATGTCTGCAGCTACCCTTAGATTAGACTTCGCCTGCAGCACCTTGTGCCTACCTGCAACCGTCGGTAAACCAAGGATGTATCTCATACACACCACTGGGGCAGTTATGGACTGAATAGTTCAATGTGCAGTGAGGATAATCTGTCGACAAACTAATAATCTATAGATTTCTGCATGTTTAATGTGTGATAAATACAGGGCGCAACAACACTGATTTATAAACTTACATGTGAGTAATATATGATGCTCTAACAGACTGACACGTTAAATTCTGTTCCTGTCCTCTTTGCTGCAGTGCCAAGATGATGTGGAAGGGACCAGTGGTCAACTGCAACCGCCCTGACCTCCGGAAATACTCCCTGTGGATCAATGGCTCGGATGACAACAACTACATGCGGGAGAGCGGAATTCGATGTCTCATGGATCATGAGATAGGAACACACTTTGTATCCTGTTATGTTCGATTATAATTTGTTGTTGGTGAAAATGGGAAAGAAAATTGACCTTACCTCTCAGAGATCAAGCTAACCCAAACAGATACATGGGAAATATCCTGAAAAGTAAAGGCATCCAGTGTGATGTTGGTCAAATCATCCAACGAGAGCTGATTGGTTTATGAAAGTTAGTATCATATGTCCAGAAAGTAAATGGCTTGAGAATTATCCTTTACTTACTTCTTCTTATTTTTCTTAACATTCAACATAACCTGCTGCAGAAAGTTCTTATTCTTCTTAACATTCAACATAACCTGCTGCAGAAAGTTCTTATTCTTCTTAACATTCAACATAACCTGCTGCGGAAAGTTCTGACTCTTCTTAACATTCAACATAACCTGCTGCAGAAAGTTCTGATTCTCTTTAACATTCAACATAACCTGCTGCAGAAAGTTCTGATTCTTCTTAACATTCAACATAACCTGCTGCAGAAAGTTCTGATTCTTCTTAACATTCAACATAACCTGCTGCAGAAAGTTCTGATTCTTCTTAACATTCAACATAACCTGCTGCAGAAAGTTCTGATTCTTCTTAACATTCAACATAACCTGCTGCAGAAAGTTCTGATCTCTTCTCCAGTTCTCCATTTTGGTCTTGTTCCAGAACTTGAATTCTGTGTGCACATCAGTTTAACAGATCTAGATTATTTATACGCAGACTGCTGGTTTCTCGCCCCTCATGTAGATGCACTCTGACTTCGAAGGAAACTCTCATAACTAGTGTCGTTGTACGACATGCTTGCTTGAGGGGTGAGTCTCCTGTTTCCCAGAATAGGGCCCCAGAACCCACACGGGGGCTTTACTTACTTTATCTTTGATGAAGGATACATGAATCCGTGTTTGTGTAGTCCTTAACTAGCAACAGTTTCGAATGCTCAATGATGGCCTTCAACCCTGGTTCTCTGACCGAGAGCGCTTCGGACTGCGCCGTTCTGGTTCTTTTGAATCGAAGTGCACAGAAGAAGGGCTAGCTACCATCAACACGGTACTACGAGGAAGGGTTCAGTTCCTATGGGGCGCTGCATTTGCATATTGTAAGTTTTCTTCTTGGTCTGTGTTTTCCTGTTTTCGTGTAAGTCTAGCGTCTCCTTGGCCGAGCTCCGTTCTAACAGGTCGTAGGTTGAACTGTCGTAAGTCAAATTTATATTTTCAATGCATTCAAACGAGAAAATTATACATAAACTGACAAATGCAATATATGTACGTATAATTACATCCTGCAGCGCTCTAAACTACTAGTTCTGGGAACTTTTTGATGTATTTATCCACTTATTTTCTTATCTGTTGACGTTTTAAAAAAAGGAAGGGATTATAATTAACGGAGAAAATGATTGCAGTAAGTTATGAGCTGAGTTAGCTAGTTAGTTAACTGGTAAGCTGATTAGCTGGTTAGCTGGTAAACTGGTTAGCTAGTTAGGTTAGGTTAGGTTAGGTTTGCACCGAACCTGCCTGAACCCTGCGGATCATACTCATCGAATCCCTGATTACACATGCAGTTTTGTGTTTTGAGCCACCAAACACATTAAATACACACAATGGCAACACGGATCCTGAAATTCCATGCTCTTACTAGAGAGGGCTGTTCTTAATACAAACAGATCTTGATAATCACACTCACTGTCGCCAAGAACTGTGATGGCCAGTCCACCCTATAGCAGTATCGTCTGACAAAACGGAAAGGTACCAACAAAACTAGGCATCAAATTTCAAAGTCCACATCCACAACAAGTCAGAAAGACCAGTAATACTGCTTCTTGCTTCTCCGTTAGTTCTTCTTCTAGGATGTTCTACAATGATATGAACGTTGGAATAAATGTCCACAGATACGGCTTGCAAATCAACAGAAATGACCTTCAGGCAGCTGTTTGATCATGTGGGGCGCTACACTTCAAACACCAACTACCGTTGGAAGCAGGTCATGCGTGTCAAAAGGGGACTGAAGGACCCTAATGACCTCGGAGGATTTGGCAATGATCAGTGCTACTTTGAAGGTAACAACTCTTACAAGTTTTGGCAAAGATTAAAAATATTACTTTGAAGGTAAAAGTCCTATAAGATGTGCGATGATTAGTGCTCTTTGTGGTATTTAGTTGAGTCGAGTTGAGTCAAGAATTGACATCACAGCACTCGGGGTATTTCTATGTGTGCTCCGTTTTCACCTTCAGCCGCGGGCGAAGAGTTCCAAAACTGATGGTACCGGTCACAATCAGGCTATATGTCCATCTTGCCTTTCCTCTGAGTGCAGTGAACCGGTCAGACCCTCTGGTTACACCCAGGTGCCTCATTCTCTCCAGGCAATAATAATCTTGTTTCTCTGCTAATTCCCTTGCTTGTTCCCAAAAAGGCTTCACCAAATTTACCTTGTCATGGATCAATTCACCACCCAGTGGTGCAGATCCAGGCAGTCTGTCTGCCTCTTCATTGCCCACTATACCAGCATAGCCTGGAAAAAAGATCCAAAGTATGCTCACTACCCGTGACCTACCCAGTTAAACTTGCCACTTTGCTCGAAGCATCCCTGTCTTCACCTTTCTAAGCATGCCTTTAGAGTCTGTTACTGCTCTTTGTGGTAAAAATCCTGTACTTTTTTCTATAATATCAAATCACTCTTACTTTAAATAATAACATGGTACGGGCATGGCGTGCAAGAGAATAGATGGTTTCATTTGAGACAGCGGGAGGTCTCCGTGGCCAGGCCTTTTGCCTCGCGCTCTGAAGGTTGTGGATTCGTTTCACAGCTGCGCCCTTCTGTTCACGAGTGCATTTTTTACGGAGATCCCTGGGGGATCGTCGATGGAGCTATGGAGTTTGTGCTTTTAGTGGCGCTCTCGGCTGACTGCTAGCTATTCTGCTGAGAGAGACCGAGCCATATGGGGTAAAATCTGGTGCGAAGAAGTCTATCCTCTCGACTTTTAACTTTAATTTGAGTCAGCGCTACTTTAATATGAACAACTATTTACGTTTGAGAAATTATTAGTGCTACTGTAAAGATAAAAGATGCTGTAAAATTTAACATTTATCAGTGCTGCTTTCAAGATAAATACACACAATACGTATTTAGCAAATGATCTTCTTCAAAATATGTTTAGCTAGTTACATACCCCTAAACTGATGCATGACAAACTAGTCGTTTTACACTCTTTGGGAGTAAGTAAACAGTGTCCAAGTACAGACAAATCATCACGGTCTGAATCGACCAGGGGATCTGGCTGACGCTCAGTACACAGGGGAAGGGCAAGACGGACATTCAGTCAGACTGTTACTATCTGAATTGGGACTACATTTGCTGATGAAGATTGGGAGGGGCGTTTATGGGAATGTCCCTGGGTGTTATTATGTCAGTTTTTAACTTACAACATGATCCTTTTGTTTACAAATGTGCCCAAGTTGCTGGTACTTTCATGGTGAGATAAACAGTATAACAAGAGACCCAAACCCGAAGCTAAACATTCTTCCAGCACTTTGCTGAAGCAGTTTCCACACATGGAAGGAAGTCTATGGTTTTGCTGCATAAGCTACTGAATAAAGTGCTTGGTGCAGCACTGTGAGCTGTTTTTTTATGCGACATGGTATTCAGTGTGATGTGTAGTTGATTTTAATATGGGCTGGTAAAATACCTTATGCAATAAGTTTGCATGTGCATGGCCAATTTGTTGTGACTGACTACTTCTATCAATGACAAACTACATTTCTGGTAGCGGCTGTTGGCACTTCTAGCAACTGCCTTACGCATTTACTGCGTTGTCATATTTCTGGATTGTGCAGGGACTCATTGTTTATTCACCATTTTGTCAAATAAGACAGTGCAGGACATTTCACTTGATTTCTACTGGCAGTGAATGGAGCATGGGGTAGCCACTACAAATTTGTATCTCAGTTAACAGGATGCAGGTCTGCAGAATTCCTTGTCCGCTACACATCAGGTGGAATCGTACTTGTGTGAAGCAAGTTAACGAATTTAAATATCTAGGAAGTATATTCTTGGAGGACAGGAGAATAGATTGGGAAATAGAAACAAGATTTCAACGAGCCAGTGCCCTTATAAACCAACTGACACAGCTATTAAGACATCCAAACATATTTATGAGCACCAAGAAACAGATTATAAACAGCCTATTTATACCAAAACTGTGCTACCAGTGCCAGACTTGGACATTATCAAAGGCTAACCTACATAAAATTAACCCTACATAAAATTAACACCTGTGAAATGAGATGCCTGAGAAAAGCTGCCAGCTTAACCATCCGAGACAAAATTAGAAATGATATTATCAGACTGTGTGAACAACACTATGTAGCAAATTCATTGAGAAACAGAAGATCAAATGGTTTGGTGTTTAGTAAGGATGCAACCAGAAAAACTACCAATGCAGGTGTACATACACATGAAAAGACCCGAAGTAACAGCAAGAGGCCACCTTAGGAGAACATGGATTGATGACATTAAAGAGTTTCTCCATCCATATGGAATGATTACAGCCATTGCTACCCATTAAAAATTGATCACAAACTGTTCCTCCCTACAATGCCTAATGCCAAAAGTGGAAATTATTGATGATGATGATAATAATGATGATATTTTGTACATTTATTATATGTTGAAGTAAACTGTAGTAATGCTGCCAGTGAGATTCAGCAAACTGTGCAATATTTTAATTATGTCCTAATTATTTAACCCTGTCACCTCGAGAAGGCACAAAGCTGAAACTTCTGCTTGGGCCCAGTTCCACCTTAACGTCACTTTTCCTACTTTTCTACAGTGATGAGATTACAATATAATTATCTACATCCTCTTCATTTCGCTGTTGACACACTAGGCATTCAGAAGTGATCTCCATTGCTGCCGCTCTGCTGCTTTTCTGCCCGTGGTATCCCATGTCAGTTTACATTCCTTTATTTCCCATTCTGCTGTCATTCTCCAAGTTTCCTTAGGTCGTCCACATCTCCTTTTCCCATCTGTCATCCACCGAGAGCTGTTTTTGCCAGAGTGTCACAAGTCATTGTGCAAACATGCCAAAGTCATCTCCATTGTTCTACTTTGATAACATTTGCCAGTGATGCACATTCTGTTTTCCTCCTCAGTTCTTTATTTGTGATCTTGTTTGGCCAAAATATTCGTAGAATTCTCCTTAAACAATTATTTTGAATGGTCTCAAGTTTATGTGTAATTCCCACTGTCATTTTCCAAAATTCCCTGTTGTATAATAGTATTCCTAAAATGGTGCTCTTGTATATTCTGAGTTTTGTCTTCAAAATAAATCCCTTTGACTTCCATATATTGTTAAGCATGGCAAATGCTTAATTTGCTTTGTTTATTCTTGATGTTACGACCTTTTCAGAATCTCCATCTGGGGTAACTTTACTTTCGAGGTATATTAATTCTTTAACCTTCTCTATTGCATCATCATTTAAGATAATAGGATTTTCTGTTTTGTAATTATAGTAGGTAAAAATATAAGCTGAGGGGGTGGGAGAGGGAGTTGTTAACCATATATCCCTTTTAAAGCGAAGATTACATCAAATTTTCCAGTAAGTCTCAGTGATAACTCACTCACTGGGTCATTGCATAGGTCGCCTGATACATATTGTGTTTTATGTCCCCGGCTATGTATTCTATGTAATGCTTCAGCCTATTCATGTTTACTTATTACTCTATTTAAGTATCTATACATTTTGAAAACAATATATGTAGATAAATAAATTTTGAAAACAATAATTAGTGACATATGTACACAGTTAAAAGATCTGAATATCAAGGGAGATTGGCTTGAAATAATTTCGTCATATCAAGCGCCACGACGGATTGGAAAATAATAGCAGAAGGCATGGTACCAGGATGGAGGAACGGGGGTCGACCAAGACATAGGATATAAGTGACTCCTTGAATATTAAGGTACATAAGGTGGGAGAGCTGGTGAGAGACCGTTTATTTCAGGCAGACCCTGATGAGGCGTTCTGCAAAGGAACTGCTACATGATGATAATGATGTCCACATTTTTGAAAGGATGTTTTTTTAGGAATTCTCCCCCCCTTGCCCATTTTTTTTTAGCGTTCCTGAGTGACAGGGTTAAACTCACAATAGGAAAACTTTGTTTCGGACCTTTACAATACCAGAAATGTGTTTATTGTTTTTATTATGTCACAGTTGTCTGTCTGATTACACTGACTGAATACACCTGCAGGTGCTGTGTCAATACTCAGAAATATGGAAAATATTGACTTTCTGTTACTGATGTCTGGAAAACTGTGCTATGATGAGGTCGACAGAATCAAACGTGTCATACGCAAGGACTGTCTACGATATCCCTCCTTCATGAACAAAATGGGTCCCTACAGGCGAACTCTGCAGAAGATTTGCTTGCTAAATGGCTTGCATCAGCAACACTCGGTGCAAAAACCACCGGCTGCATATCTAAAACGTCTAGATGAGCGGAAATCAGGCAAGGTTGAAGATGATGTGAATGTTAACAAAGCAAATGAGAATAAGAATCACAGGGTAACTCAGAGTCGAATGGGAAAGTTAAACAGAAGCAAACAGAAAGGTAAAATTATTCACAGCGGTGTTGACAACGAAGATGATGATAAGTCGGAGATAGAAAAATTTCCAGTGTCCAATAACTTGGTGAAGATGTTGCAGCACAAGCAAGAGGAAAGCAGGCAGCTTGAGGAATCTTGCAGGGTTTATGCAACATTTGAGACTTTGAGAAAACAGCTGAGTACCTTAGATTCGACCCTAGACCAGAAGATTCAGCAGCTAAGAAATATTGTGAAAGACCACAGCTGGTCAAACAATGAGGCTGCTTATAAACAAAGTTTGCTGAACCAAGTTTCATGTGAACTGATTTCTGAAGGTTCCCCGATAAATGAGCAGAATATGCCCATTGAGAACAAAACTGTTTCAATAGAAGAATCCCTCAGCATCATTCAACCCAACAACTCCCTGACAATGGGAGAGCATTCTGAAGATACAGACACCTGTTCGGAATCTATAAAAATGATGTCACAAGAATTGCTTGATAACGCTAACTTTAATTCCAATAGTTGTCGAAACCGATATGTTAAGAGACAGCAGACGTCATTATCATTGAAAGCGAAGAAGGATGAAAATTCCTGTCCATCAACAGTGAAGAAGAAAAGGACAATGGAAGATTTAACAGATTTTATGATCAATAACAAAGTAGAAACTCTAAAGAAAAAGTTCTTATCTGATGTAAACCCTCATGAGATAATTTTTCTGGAAATGTCTGATGAGGAGGATAGGTACTCAGTGAGAACTTCCTGCAGTAATGTATTGATTGACATCAGCAATGATATCACTGCAGAGCTACCAAAGTATATCCTGAATAATTCTACAGCTGGAAATGTGGATGACTTCAAGCCACAGCCAGACAAGAATTCAAACAAAATCGTGCCAGCTGGAATTAAACAAAAGCCAAATTTTATTTTAAGAAATAAACTGCTAGCCAAAAGACCTTCGGTTACCTCAGGTAAAACTATAAAACCTGAAAAGATAGATACAAAAATTGGACATGAAACTGATTCAGACACAGATGACTCAAGCAGAAGGCAGAAAAAAATCAAGAAGAATAATTATGCTCATATTGTGTCCCATTACTCTCAGTTTAAACCTGTAATTGTTCAAAAACCAAAGCTGGACAGAGAAATTCTCACAGCTGATCTGTGCAAGCCATTTTTCATACAAGCTGAACGTCTTCTTCAGGCAGAAAAAGTCTTGAAGAAAACCAGATACCACAGAAATGCTGTAAAAAAAGCAGATGTCATAGCCACGCTGAGGAAAAAACTCATACCCCACCATAAATAAAATGGAGTCATTTATACAACTGTTCACAAATTACAAAATAACTAGCCCTCACTATAGGGTAAAAATTGAAGCAAATCTCACATTTGCTGTCCCAGACAATCAGAACCTTAAAATGTGACATAAAATTAACTGCAGCCCACAGTTATCAAACTGACATGTCACAAAACGTAGAGAATCTTACAAATAGATCAGAAATAACTAAATACTATACATTAAAACACACAAATCTTACAAATAGATCAGAAATAACTAAATACTATACATTAAAACACACAAATCTTACAAATAGATCAGAAATAACTAAATACTATACATTAAAACACACAAATCTTACAAATAGATCAGAAATAACTAAATACTATACATTAAAACACACAAATCTTACAAATAGATCAGAAATAACTAAATACTATACATTAAAACACACAAATCTTACAAATAGATCAGAAATAACTAAATACTATACATTAAAACACACAAATCTTACAAATAGATCAGAAACAACTAAATACTATACATTAAAACACACAAATCTTACAAATAGATCAGAAACAACTAAATACTATACATTAAAACACACAAATCTTACAAATAGATCAGAAATAACTAAATACTATACATTAAAACACACAAATCTTACAAATAGATCAGAAACAACTAAATACTATACATTAAAACACACAAATCTTACAAATAGATCAGAAACAACTAAATACTATACATTAAAAAAGAACAAATCTTACAAATAGATCAGAAATAACTAAATACTATACATTAAAACACACAAATCTTACAAATAGATCAGAAATAACTAAATACTATACATTAAAACACACAAATCTTACAAATAGATCAGAAATAACTAAATACTATACATTAAAACACACAAATCTTACAAATAGATCAGAAATAACTAAATACTATACATTAAAACACACAAATCTTACAAATAGATCAGAAATAACTAAATACTATACATTAAAACACACAAATCTTACAAATAGATCAGAAATAACTAAATACTATACATTAAAACACACAAATCTTACAAATAGATCAGAAATAACTAAATACTATACATTAAAACACACAAATCTTACAAATAGATCAGAAATAACTAAATACTATACATTAAAACACACAAATCTTACAAATAGATCAGAAATAACTAAATACTATACATTAAAACACACAAATCTTACAAATAGATCAGAAATAACTAAATACTATACATTAAAACACACAAATCTTACAAATAGATCAGAAATAACTAAATACTGTACATTAAAACACACAAATCTTACAAATAGATCAGAAATAAATAAATACTATACATTAAAACACACAAATCTTACAAATAGATCAGAAATAACTAAATACTATACATTAAAACACACAAATCTTTCTGCAGGATATCAAATAAACTACAACAGAGTGCTGTAACTTTCACATCTTTTGAACACACAGGCCTCAAAACAAGAAAGAAAACAGCTACAGCCCACAACTTATGGCCTCGTTGTGTAAAAATGTGGCCCTAGTCAGATGTTGGTGTTTGCCCGTTTCATCATCATCATCATCATCATCATCCCGTACCACTGTGTGTCATTGGTTCATCCGTTTCTGTTGACTGATCAGCTCTCTCCACCATTTGGTGGTCAGTTGTGAAGGACTTCATGGTTACATGCCTGAGGCTTGTCCAGTCAGTCAGGTTCTGAAACCAGGTCTTTCTTGGTCTGCCTTTTCTCGTCTTTCTCTCTACTGAGCCGTGCAGTATTGTTTTTGAGAGGCCGTTAGATTTTATTACATGCACATACCATTAAATTGTTTGCCTTTTCACTGTAGTTAAAAGAGGTCCATAGTTGCCAATGTGCAGTATAATTTTATAAAACATTGCATTTCCAATGCTTGTATCTTCCTTTCAAGTTCAGCTGTTTAGGCCCATGTTCTAATATTTGTATGCACAAGAAAGCCAACATCTTTTATCCCTCTTTCCTCTCCACTGAAGTAGAATTCATGTCTTTGATCAGTTGTTTTTTTTCTCCAAACTCTTTCCACCTAGTCTCACATAGACCAATGAGATGCCAGGTGTACCTTTCCAGCTCATGTTGTAACTGTTAGCTTGTCAGTCTGCTTTAAAGTACAGACATTCCAGGTGCCAAAAACTGCCGTGTTTCTTTCACGTATACACTTCCTCTCATAATGATCAGTGGCCAACTTGTCGTTTCCGCCCTAATCTGGTAACTCAGCCCATGACCGAGCCGGTGTAGAAGTATCAGATCTATTTGTCAACAGCATATTGCTTCTCAGGCCGTATTTCAATCGTGTCGGGGCTCACTCCTCTGCAGATGGCCATTTCCCTGTATCCTCACGGAACCAGTTTCCAGTCTGCACCACAAGGAGGTGAGGTTGGCTTATGCGGTCATGGGACAACAGCAGGCTATTAATTTTCGCTTTTCACCTTCCTAAGAGAGCTAGCTGCCCCCAAGACTGCTGGCTGCAGTGCTAGGCCTGACCACACCTTTGCATGTTTAAGGCCTGTTTATTCAGAAAAATTCTGTATCCAGGTATTTCTTGGTCTGTTTCTTCTCCTCAGTTCGTGGAGATGTTTAGGAGAAGATCAGAGCATTTATGGATCTGTTCGGAGTGCTGCAATGAGAGCCTCACTAATTACTGTATTTATGTAGAATTTCTATCGCTAACCATAGCTCCCAGGTTTTTCCTTTTGGGTTCCGAAGGGGGAGGGGAGGGGGAACAGGGTGATAGACCCACTGTCGCTCAACAAGCATGACCTAAGACAAGTATTTAAAGTTTTGCTGAAATCAGATGTGTTAGGCCAAAAGGAGCTGAAATCACAGCCTAGTTGTAAACGACAACACAATGGGCCAACCACCTGTTCAAGGGCAAGTGCAGACAAAGAGAAGTTTCCTGGTGGACCCAGACTCAAATGGATACTAAGAAATGTCATCAGAGGTGTCTATTACTAGATTCCCAACACATCAGTGGAGTGGAAGAGGAACACATCAGTGGAGTGGAAGAGGAACACATCAGTGGAGTGGAAGAGGAACACATCAGTGGAGTGGAAGAGGTTATTTACTTACTTAGCATATATGTCAGCATCTGTGGCTTAGGTGTTGTGAACGTGCTTTGTAATTCTGAGGTGTCGGGTACAGTTTTGGCAGTGGATAACTTTGCATTGATTTCAACAAGGGTATCGAGATCCAGCTGTTCTAAAGCAATGGCAAACTACATATTGTACATGTCTGTCAAACCAAAACAGCCAACAAATGCTGGGGTTGGTTCCGCAATGTCCTGTAAAGCAGGCATCTCAAACTGAGGGTCCCCCATGGGTCATAGGGGTCACATTTATGTTGTCATGAGGGCCACAACTGATTGAAGTCATTAAATAAAATGATTGCCTGTGAAGGGTTGCTTGTTTGACATGCCTGCTGTCAAGGATATGCAAATAACTTTGCCTCGCAGTGATTGTTGGATGTGCAATATTTTGTGCGGTTTTTTTTTTTTAATCACTTACAAACTTATCTATAAATTAATCGTGGAACTGCTACCACAAGCTTGCGAATAAATTTGATTTTTTATCATACCTGGGTCTGATTATTTATGCTTTGGGAAAATAAATGTTGCCTCATGTCTTAGTTATTTCACATTTGTTACATGTGTTTGTTGCATCACATTTTGTTACACTGCATTTGGGGCACAATGCAATGGCTAACCATAGCCAGATAGAAAAAAAAACAGTCAGCCTGTCTATCCATCAAATGTGACCTAAAAGGGTTAATTACACCACATCTCTTACACTAAATTTGTGTTATATCACGGTTACACCACGTTTGTGTTACATCGCGCTGGTTACACCACATTTGTGTTACATCACACTGGTTACACCACATTTGTGTTACATCACGTTGGTAACACTACATTTGTGTTACATCACGTTGGTTACACCACATTTGTGTTACATCACACTGGTTACACCACATTTTTGTTACATCACGTTGGTTACACCAAATTTGTGTTACATCACACTGGTTACACCCCATTTGTGTTACATCACGTAGGTTACACCACATTTGTGTTACATCACACTGGTTACACCACATTTGTGTTACATCACGTTGGTTACACTACATTTTTGTTACATCACGTTGGTTACACCACATTTGTGTTACATCATGTTGGTTACACCACATTTGTGTTACATCACGTTGGTTACACCACATTTGTGTTACATCACGTTGGTTACACCACATTTTTGTTACATCACGTTGGTTTCACCACATTTGTGTTACATCCCATCTGCTAGAGTACAAAAAACATATTAATAATTTTAATTACATCACAGACAATACATCAAAAGAAGAAGAGATACTTTCCAAACTTTATTGTGAATTATTAACTCTATTTTTTTTTTTGTTCTGTACAACCGTTATATATAAGAAGCTGCACAATCATTACAAGAGAAGTAAATGCAACATCAAAGTAAATGGGACAAACCTCAAGCAAGTTGACATCTTTAAGTACTTGGGTGCCCTGATAACATCAGGAACAAGATGTATTAAAGAAGTTACATGTCGAATAGCTCAAGCAAAGGCAGCATTTCACAAAATGAAGAATATTTTATGCAGTCTTTCTTTGTCAATTGAGATGAGAAAGAGAATTCTTAAAAGTTATTTAAATCCTATACTGATAAACGGATGTGAATCATAGACAGCTAGTAAATTAGTGAAAATTTATTTGGAAGCTGCGGAGATTTGTTTTTATAGACGGATGATGATAATACCCTGGACAGATAAAAAGAGTAATGAAGACGTTTTGAAAGAAACTGACTCATGAAGAGAACTGACTGCTTCATCAGACACAGATAATCTACATATTTTGGTCATGTGATGAGAAGGAGAAAACTGGAGTAAATTGTGACAGTAGGAAATTTGGAGGGAGGAGGGGCAAAGGGAGACCGAGAGAACAAATGCTGGACAGTCTGACATCATGGCTTGGAGTATCATCTGTGTCCGAGTTCACAAAGTACACGAGACAGAAGGTTATGGATAGACATGACTACCAACACCATATGGCATGGACTTAAACAAAAAGAAAGATAATGACTGCATATAGCAATGAAATAAGATTCTTCTAAACATGAAGTTGACACAATATACCTAACATGTCTAATGGCAAAGAGGTCTTCCTGAACATGTAGTGTTCTAATGAGTATAGTTGTTTCTTCTTCTGCCATTCTAACCCCCCCCCCCCCCCCTCCCCCCAACAGAGCATAGGCCCTCAACCAACTTAAGCCAAGTCACTTTATCCTTCGCTATTGTAGGCAGCTCTCTCCATGTCCTCCCTGTCTTTCCTTCTTCTTATTCTCCGCGTTTGCCGGCTGTAAACTCTAGTAGAAAGTTCAGGTTTTTCAACCACCTGTGAACTGTAGTCTTGTTTCAGAACCCAAGTGGTGCGTGCACATATGTTTTACAGATCTGACTTATCTGTATGCAGACTGCTGGTTACTTGCCTCTCAGGCAGATGCACTCTGACTTCAAAGGAAACCCCCAGTTAGTCTTATGATATGCTTCTCCCCATCTTTTTAACTTCTCTCTAGCTCCATTCTCCATTGTTTTTTTGTCTTCCTTTATTCATATGCCCCTGTGGTTTCCAGTGCAAAATCATTCTAGTTATACTGTTCTCAGGTTTTCTAAACGTGTGTCCTATCCAATGCCAGCATCTTTTCTTCACCCTACAGTCCACCCAATATAAAAACTCGCTCTTCAAATAAGATGTGGAGATAGTCATCTTCACTCTGTCTGGGTTCCTAGACCCTCTAACAAGCATGTCATAACAGTTTACTAATTAGGAGTGTTTCCTTCGAAGTTAGAGTCCATCTGCATGACGCCCGAGGAACCAACAGTCTGCATATGAATAAGCCAGATCTGTAAACTGGATGTGCACCAAGACCAAAGTTGAGAAGTGGATAAACAACCAGAACTTTGTGCAACAGTTTACAGTAGGCAAACACTAAAAAAAAAAAAAAGAAGAATGAACAATGCTGTCTGAAACTGCCCCCTATTTGTCGCCTCGTATCACTGCTGTATGTGTCCTTCAGTTGGCTGACAGATCATCCTCACTGCACACTGAAGCATTCAGTATTCAAGTGCTTGGATCCCCTCCTCATTATATCAGTACTCACCCAACATTCGTCGGGGCCCCTAATATAACCTAACGGTCGAATAAGGTTTCTGGGACTTGCGCTTAGGCGATTCTCATCCGAATGGTGACACTTTGTGTCACCGGGTGATTATTGCTCATTGTGCGGTCCTGGTGGTTTTGAACTTCATTCAGGCATCTTCAGTATATCACTCAGCATACAGCGGCTGATGACAGCAGTTCTGTGTTGGTGTATTCTTCTTTGGCTTTATGCAAAGCAAGTATACTAAAACATAACTAAACATATAATCAAACATACCTCCGTGTGTGTTTTTCCGGGGCCCTATTATAGGGAAAACAAGAATAGACCCACTGCCTACCCAAAAGCATGTCGTAATCAACTAATCCAAAGTCGAAGTGCATCTGCCTGAGAGCAAGGAACCAACAGTCTGCACACAAATGAGTTTAGGTCTGTCAAACTGATGCACACGCAACACTCGGGTTCTGAAACAGGACTGCAGTCCAGAAATGGATGAACAACCAGAACTTTTCGCCAGAGTTTACAGCTGGTGAATGCGAAGAAGAAGAAGAAGAAGAAGAAATAACATACCACTTACAATATGACCATCTCCTGTTTTGAATGTTCGTGTTTATTTAGTCGGAGACTTGGTGCTATCCTGTGATGCCCAGATATCTCCTTCCTGTCCCTCTGCTGAAGGAGATTTCACTGCATGTAGGGCGTAGTTCACACTGGTGTCCTTGACCCAAGACCATCGCTTTGTGAGAGGGTTATAACACATGCCATGAATGAGGCGGGTCACAAAGTTGTCTGTTGGATACAAAACCAAATGATTAAAAAGTAGTTATCATTTTTTTTTAATTTGTTAATGAATAAATTAAAAAAGTATCCGCTCCTCCCCAACAAGCATGTTTTAAAAGTCAACAAAAGAAGGTGGTTTCAAAGTTACAGTGCATCTGCCTGTAAGGAAAGGAACCAACAGTCTGCATAGAAATAAGTCAGATCAGTAAAATGGATATGTATGCAAAACTCAAGTTCTAGAACAAGACTCAAGTCCAGAAGTGGACAAACAACCAGAACTTTCTGCTAGAGTTTACAGCCGTTGATCGCTAAGAAGAAGAAGAGTTCACTAGCACAGGAATGCAATAATTATGGGGTGACTTGTTTGCAGTGAAGTAGTTACACCTCAACTGCTGACTGGTTCTGCACAACTTGATGGAATACTGATGTATGATAAGGCACACATGGTTAAGACCTTCTGGGATCACCTGTACAATTCAGAACAGAAAAGTGATCATCACAGTTTGGTGAGAGTAATGCAGCGAGGAGTGATGAGGGAATCTGGCCGATACTTGAGGCTCAGAGGAAAGACAAGATGGACAAATAATTAAACCGCTACTGGCACCATTGGTATTAGAAATCTGCGCTGGTTACTGATGATGTGAACGGAGCACTTATGGGAATGCCAAGAGTGCTGTGTGTTGGTTTTTTTAATCAACTCAACACAACTCAACTTAGGACATAAAGCATACTATGTTGAATGTTAACATAACAGTTCAAATGTTGATAATAAAATATTATCACATCATGAGTTGTTTGGGACACATGGGCAGAAGCTGATCATACATAATGCATTTGTTATGACAGAAAGAGTTAAAACAATTTCTTTCAAAACATCTTCATTACACTCTTCAGTTTGTCCATGTTGTTCTCATTATTTTTTATGAAATATCACAACTTTGTTGCTTTGACATATATCTCACTAATCAACTGATTATCCATGATTTGCTTCTGTACATCAGAACTGGCTCTAAAAAGCTCTTAAGAGCTCTCTTTCTGACCTTAATTTAACATGACAAATTACACTGAATATTTTCCATTTCATTAAATGCATATTTTGTTTGAGCTATTCTCCCCATGTGGATTCTGTGACCCCATTTTGGAGGAAAAAGAATAGAACCAATGGCTGCCTAAGAAGCATGTCATAAAAGGCTCCCATTCAGGGGCATTTCCTTTGAAGTCACAGTGCATCTGCCGGAGTTGAAGAACTAACAGTCTGCAAATCTCACTTCTGGAACAACATTAAAGTCCAGAAGTGGACAAACAACCACAAATTTCCAGCACAATTTACGGCTGCTCAACACTAAGAAGGAAGATTCTTGCAAGCTGACACTCACTTTTCTCCAGCATGTCCTGCAAGTCTGCTGGTGGCACAAATTTCTCCCAGTCATGCGTCCCCGCCGGCACCAGATGGAGAATCTGCTCCGCCACCACAATTCCTAACAAGTAGGCAAGTTGCGTCTTGTTTATTGTGGTGAAAAATATCGACCCGCCTGGCTATATAAACAAACACACAAATTGTTGTCATATGATCAGCTACTGCCATAAATTAAACATCGCATCAGTGACATGATCAATAACCCCAGAATTACACAGGTTCTAAGAAGATCTGTGTATGCATCAGCGTGTCTATTATGTAACTGTAATCAAATCTGTTAATCTCTTCTTCTTTTATGTTCACCATGGTTGGTACATTGTGTTATGGTTTACAGCTAGGCTGTGATATCTCCACCTTTTAGTCTAACACATCTGATTTCATCAAAATCTGAATTAGTGGCCGCCTCTTACAACATGCTTTTTGGGGGTTAACGAGTTTAATCTTGTTTTCCCAGACATAAGCTTCTGGAAAATACACAGGAAGTTAATTGTTAACTCTTTTAGGCCCAAGCAATGCTGTGTGTGTTGACTGAGAAGTTCCGAATTCCGCAGTCTGTGTTGATCATTTGTCCTGCACATATTCATGTGCATGCTGTTCCGTATTTCTTTATTTAATGTCTGAAACTATGACTAAAGTATTGAGGGAGGTTAACTCTAATGCTTTTACTGTGTTTACAAATCTCTATACATTAAGGTGCACATTTATCCAATTCACTGCTAAAATCATTTTTAGACAGCAGATTTTACAATTTTGCCTTTAAATGACCATACATACCAATAATCCTAACACAACTGCAGGCTGCAAAATGCACCTATCTAAAACATAATCTCAGAATTTCTTTCAGTCAGATGTTTTTAATTATAATTATGATAATGAAACAAAAACTGTTCAGAAAGGGATTCAGATGGTGAATTTACACCAACAGCAGCTGAGCGGTCAACTGTTAGAGAATCTAACAGTTCTGATGATTACATTCGTGAAGGACAGTACCATATTACGGTCAATCTGTAGTGAAATCATTGCAGCTACAGTCTGTATATAAGTGAACAAAGTAAATATCTTGTGTGGAATTGTCTATTTTTCAACCATTTTTTTCTCAGCACTTTATAAGAACCTACAGCCTCTGCCAGTTTGCTTGTCACTAATGATTGCACCCTTTTTGGTTAACATTACTTTCCCCGAATGGTTCCTTGTATTCTAGCTAGATGTGCTTATGGCTATTTGGGAGTGGTTGAACAGTGCACAAACACAAAGAATGAAGAAAATAATGCAGTGGAACTCAAAATTTAGAAGAAAGGCAATATGGACAAACAATTAGTCTGTTACTGGTACCATAGGAATCAGAACTGTGCTTGCTGCTGAAGGTGAGGACAGAGTGCATATAGTAATTTTGAGAGAGCTGTGATATTCATAAATCAAGTCAACTCAGTTAGTACAAATAGTGATTAGCACAACATGTGACATCTGTTTCTGGAATCAAATAACGGGTTTGCTGAAGTTCTGTGGCAAATCTGTGGGGAAAATGGGAAGAGTGGGGGGGGTGACTGTCTGTATAAATAAACATATTACTCTATTATATATAAAGATTTTGCTCTTCAGATTTTTCTAAAACTGTAGCCAATTTCACTTATTCATTGACGTCATATTTGTTCTCAATACCTTGAAATCTGTTAGAAATAACTGTTTCTATTTCGATGCCATGACTTTCGTAAAACTGTACTGATCAATGTAATATGTAACATTCCCACAGTTAGCAGTGGACACATCGCAGCCAACCTCCATTGTGGAAACAGCATAATTTTTAGATTTAAAGAAACCGAATTTAACAACAATAAAAAACATCAAACAAACAAATGGTGTGGCCATCTGGTCAAAATGGGACAAAATAAACCAGCAGCTAGATTGTACTACATAAGAACTAAAAGTCAAGAGGCCGGCCAAAAAAGAACTGGGTTTATAAGAGACATTTTAGAAATGCAATTTGACATTAACACAAGTTATACAACTAGCAAAAGACAAGAAACTACATCTAACTCCTCTCTGTGATACTTTACAGCAAAAGCAGTAGAAGAAAAGAAGAACAACAAAAAACTTAAAATCTAATAAAATACATTATCACAGCCAACAAAAGAATGAAAATCTAATATTGAATTTAAAAAATTTTTAAACATATTTATGCAGATTTTATCATAGATTATTAAATAAAATGTTTTTCTTTTAAAGATATTTTAAACATTCTCAATCATTCCATTTGATATGACTTACCCTGACGAGTTTGCACGCATATGTCACAAACAAACTGGCATCACTGACATGCTCTAGGACCTCTGAGACCACTACAGCATCAAACTTGCCAGCTTGGCTTTCAGCAACCTCCTCAACTGTCCCATGTACATATCTGATCCTGTCTCTGATTGCTGAATCACTGATGAGATGAGTCTGGGCTACTTTGATGCTTTCCTCAGAGGCTTCGAGTCCGACCACAGAAGCCCCGAGTCTGGCCAGAGGCTGTTAGAAAAAACCAGTCAAGTTATATATAGTTCTGTCTGTGTGAATGTACAACTGGCAGATTGACAGATAAGGTGCTTGAGGTAACAAAAACAATCTTCTTTTCTTTTTTGTTCACCTGCTGTGAGCTCCAGTGGAACGTCTTGGTTGTTCGTCAACTTAGACTTTGGCTTTGTAAGAGGACCTGAGTTTTGGGTGTACATCCAGTTTATTGGCTTATTTGTGTACAGCTGGTTGTTTCTTGCCACTCGGACAGACACTCTTCGACTTCAAAGGAAGCTCCTAATTAGTCCACCCCACCCCTTAGACATGCTAGTGGAAGAGTCTATTCTTTTTTTACCCACCATGGGGCCCGGGAACTCACGCATAGAAAAAAAAAAAACAATCAAATACAGAGGTTCTGAAGTTACTATGAATAAAAAGAGAGCTGCTGACAGAAATTAAAAAGAAAGTAGTCAAATATCTCAACTTCTCCCCTTCCTCTTTTACCGCTGCAGGTTCGAGGGAGATACAAGTTTCTTCTTCTTACTGTTGTAGAGTTTCTCTTATGTTATACTCCCATCTTGTTCTTGAACTACTTAATGCTCTACACTGTTCTCCTCCTTTAGTGTATATATACCTTGTATGGTGTGATGCCACAAGCCATCGCCCTAAGTATGGAAACCATTTTATTTGCTGTCTCAATTTAGAATTGGTTCTCTACTGACTTTTCCCTTATGACCTCATTCCTAATTTTTCTCTTCTGGTCATTTTTTTTCTAGGATATTTTCATTTTTTACGGTGACAAATTTTTCTGGCTTGTTCTGAGTGACCATGTCTGGCACTGGCAGCATATAGTGGGAATCTTCTTCTTCCTTGTTCACCGGCTGTAAGCTGCTGTGGAAGGTCCTGTTGTTTGTCCCTTTGTACTTTGTATTTGTGCCAGGGCCTGGGTTCTGCATGTACATCTGTTATCCTGGCTTATGTGTGTGCAGTTGGTTGTTTCTTGCTGCTCAGGCAGATGCACTCCAACCTGTAAGAAAAACCCCCAATTAGTTAGTTAGTTTTTCCTCTTGTGTCGAGTGCGGCACATAGGGCAGAGGTCATGACTCTCCATGCATGGCGGTTCATTGCAATCTGTTGTAGGCAGTGGGTCTATTCTTGTTTTCCCCATAATGGGTCCCTGGAACCCACATGGGGTGAGTGGGAATGAATATGCTTTGCAGCAGATGTTTCTTTGTGCTGATCAGTATTCTGTTATGCTGTAAAAGAGGTACTAGCTGTCCCCAAAAATATCTCAAGGACACTGAAATTAATTATTAAGCTTATTATTATTATTTCTGACACAAACAAAAGCCATACAGGTGGGGAAAGTTGAAGGCAAAATAGTAAGAGACAGGTAAAATTAAAGATGACTGTAGTCAAGCTAAATCCTAGAAAGTGATCCAGTGAACTGTGACTAAAAAGCTTTATGAAATGGGGAAGCAGAAAAAACACGCACAAAACAACACAAATCGACATTTCGGCTGGGACTTCTCTTGACATGAAAACTACACAACAATAACAATGGGGAGAGTACTCCAACCACCAGGGCATCATAAGAGAAACTACAGAAAGGTGATGTGGAATAAATAAAATAAAATAAAGGAAGGCTTGAAAAATAGTCATAAAAGTAATAGTAATAATATATAACAATAGCAGGATTGATCCACCTTCTGGCCCAGTATTTGGGACTTGAAAGGAAGACTGAGTTCATCCCTTCGCCTTTACCTCATAAGTTGTCCCATCCAGTTTCCTGGTTGTGGGTAGAGACCCCAACCTTCCACTGGATTACTGGGAAGAAAAGGGTCCACCACGTGAAGGTTAGGCAGGCTTGAGCAAGAGAGGCTAACAGACATTAAGAGTCTTGTATTGCACATCACTACTCTATTAGGACCCAAACACGGAGGCAAACAAAAACCTGCAATGCCGTCAAGAAATGGATAGGACTAAATTATCATACACTTGTTCAACAAGTGGAAGACAGAGAAAGATGGCAGGTTTTTGTACTAGTGCTTTTATCTATAGACCCCACGACCGTAACAGCTCAAGGGTTCTGTTATGTTACTAGCTAAACAGATAAGTAGGCAGTTAAAAGTCACACAATTAGTTTGGTTGGTTAGTGAATATGTGAAAAGCTGATTCTGAACTTTAAACTCCAACCTACTGGCATTCAAGTCACATGAGCCATTAAAAAACCTGACATCTTTCAAAGTAGTGCACACAATGGGTGATGTGGTCAATGTCACATTGGCAACCTTTACTTCAGAGGGCAAAAATAAAATCTTAACCTGCCAAGTCCGTGGCAACAGCAATCAGGCCCAAAGACTTCTTCTTCTTTTTCTTCAGCATTCCGAGCCCTTGAGGTTCATTGTTGCTGATATCACCCGCCTCCATTCATCTCTCGGGTTGGTCTTCTCTTTCTAGTTGGTGACATCTACAAAGACTGCTTACTTCTAACCTTTACTTGGCGGGACATATTTCTGGTACCTTTTTTAGGCTGTGGGGCGTCGCAGGTCAACCTAGCCTAAAATGGGTACCAGGAAGGCTGTCCTGGGAAAGTAAAGATGGCCGGCGTAATGTTGACCACATTACCCACCCAGTGCCGATTGGTCTGTAAAAACATGGGGCGCTTTTACCATATGCCTGATGCGCGTGAAAAGGGATGTTTACATTTACCTATTTTAGGCTGACCATATGACTCACCAAGTGCCTTTAGGTCTCTAAAATATAGGTCTAGACTATATGCCAAATAAGTCTGAAGGTTTGGAAAAGGGTCCTTTATTTTAGGCCGGGTCAACGTGGGAGATCTAGGTTGACTATAAATCTTCCTGGATCTAGATTCAAACCAAAGACCAGGCAAACCCATGCTAAACCCTGACAGATGATGACTCACCTCTGATAAAATGCCTCCACCACTGCCAACGTCCATAATCCAGAAACCTTCGAGTGGTTTGCTCATGTCATACTGGTCAAGCCTCTTTGAAGAAACCAATGCGTCCCTGATCAAAGGAACTCTCAACTCATTCAAAGCATGCAGAGCTCCAAATGCGCCATTTTCATCCCACCATAAAGCAGCTAGATGAGTGAACCTGCCAACTTCTTCTTCATCTATCGTTGTTTGAGACTGAGGTCGCTGAGAAGTCTTGCTGCTATCAGTTGAACTTCTGTCAATTAGACAGTGCAAAGAACAAATGGCTTTAGGGTTATGAACAGTTTCCTTTTCTGACATAACAGTGTTCAATTCAGCTGCTGATAATTTGGCAACAGACCACTCTACATTGATTTTGACATAGTATGAGTATATCAGTTGCTCAGAGCACTAGCTATTAGTACATTTACATATTGCTGTGAAACGTAGACTTTAACAGTTGAACTTGAAAGAAAGATACAAGCATTACAAACGAAGAGGTTCGCATAAAATTATACAGCACATTGGCAACTATGAACCTGTTTTAACTACAGTGAAAAGGTGAAAAATGCAATGGTATGGAGATGTAATAAGATCTAACAGCCTCTCAAAAACAATACTGCAGGGCTCAGTAGAGAGATTACCAGTAGAGGGAAAGAGGAGAAGAGGCAGACCAAGAAAGACCTGGTTAAAGAACTTCTCAATGCTGAATATCTTTCAGAACCTTTACTCACCCTTTATTTCTCCCCCCCCCCCCCCCCCCCAGTTTAACCCTCTGGAAATAAACCCCAACACAAAGTTGCCAAAAGGACAACCCAGCTGATCGATCGGCCCCATGTAATACAAGCCTTGAGACTGGCTGGCAGGTTTTGTACCAGCCAATTAGATTGTTTCTCGCATTTCTTCCACATGTAGGCTGTTAATGATGGCTTTTGAGAAAATTTGATGTGTTCTGTAATTTTACAGCCATTTTATTTTTTTTTGTGGGCTTACCTGTGCCCAACAACGGCAATAAGACCTGTTGCGTCATAACAACTTAAACATAGGAGAAGGCAAGAAAATGAGTAGAACCATGTTTCAGAAGTGTCTGAACATCCTCCATGGGCCCTGTTTCCCCAAAATACAAGTCTTAGGACTTATTCAGGCTTCATCCATAAAATAATTTTACCCAAAATTTTTAGGTTAGTCATGTTGGTTCCCAAGTTTTAAAAAAAAAATGCTTGCACAAATTATAGAACTCATAATTTTTTTAATTATTTATTTGAATAAATGTTGAGATTTCAATTTCCTTCATACATATTCTGTCAGTTCATTCATTTTTCTCCCCAAATATATATAGTTTTGTAAATGTTAATGATGCGCTTTATTTTTTGTAATTCTGTGTGTATACTGAGAAATAAAATTCCATGAAGGCTGTCTTTTTGGCACTGAAAATCCAAAAAAGCTCAGTCTCCAAAGGGATAATTGGCTCTACTTTGAACGGCGCCTTAAAATCGCGGCCGTAATATGATGCTGTTTGAAAGAGAGCTAAATTGGCCCCATTCTGGCCATAAAATGTCCAAAAATATCCGAATGCGGCTCAGTTCTATAAAAAATATATGTGCCGGCTCCGTATAACGAAACAAATGCTCTAACAGGGTCTCGGCGATATGTTACTTGCGGACCTGCTTCTGTGAGTGTGCCTTACCGCCGACCGTATCCCCCACGCCGTTATGTGCGACGTTGATGGGGACTAAACTAGATGGCTGGGACTCACGAGCAGCAGCTACCGCATCTCCTGCAACTTCCTCCAGTTATTTTACTCATGAGTCCCAGGCACCTAGTTTAGCCCCTCCACTCCCTCCCCCCTCATACGCGCGGCGATGAGTTTAATCGCGTTTGGCGCATGCCGACAAGTCTGACATCTACGGCTGCTAAATCCTCCCATCAGAAGAACACAGTTTTGCTAATCGGCTTTCATCGTCTGTATTGTCTCGAAATTGGTCAACGGTCGCTAATATCGTCTGCTAGTATCGTGGTCTGCAGAAACGCTTGACAGTATCCTCTGCTGCTACCGTGTGCAATGTTGATATTGATTGTCAAGTAATCCTAGTTTTGCCGCGATTTGTCCTTTGGCAGAAACTCTGTATTTTAGATACGCCTGAACACCGTTCGGATATTTTGGGATATTTATGGCCAGAATGTGGCATCATATTATGGCCGCCATTTTAAGGCGCCGTTCAAAGTAGAGCCGGATAATTTGTCTTTCAGATCAATGTATGGATTCTATGACCTACTGCACTGTCCATTTGATCGCAGAGAGCTTTCACTGGGTCCACTGTATAACAAATGAGCTCTGCCACATATGACGCCAATAGCGGGCGGCTGGTGCCCAATCACTGGCGAATTGTCCGTGTCAGTAGCATCCACCGTCCGTCGACTGTTTGCGCTTGCATGCGACTGTGCGCGATTATAAGTAACTACGGCGTCATATTTGGCAGAGTTTCAGTGGCGCCACTCCCACAAACGTCAGATTGTTGGCCACTATTTCGACCTCCTACGTGAAAATTGTCAAATCCAACCATACCCCTAAACCCTAACCCTAAACCTAACCCTATACCCTAGACCAACCTACACGCAATAAGCAGCCCTACACACAACCGTAGGACGATGATAGACACCCTACACGCACCCGGATGCTGATAGGTAAGTATGCCATTTGATTCGTGACTTTTTCCGCGACTTGTTTTGAGTTGTTCTCAGTTTGGCCAAGGGACATAACTCCCACTAAGCCCCGCTAAGCCGGCCGAAGCAGTCCAGCTTACCGGCCAAATTTGACAGGAGAGCCTATAATTATAATATTATTAATAATACTACGTGGACGCATTCCTTACCCGGAACCACTGAACGCTCTGCTCTGTGACGGAAAACCAGCAATATCTCTGAAAGTCTGGCCATGTTTCAACTTGAAACTTCGAGTTGGCGACAACACTGACCAAGACGACCTAGGTCCAGGCTCTGTTGAACTTGAACTTGCAACTCGGCTGATTGTCCTTCTACTTTCACATTTGCTCGTAATGAAATTCCTCAACGAAAATATTCGCAGTCTGTGGAAATTGCGAATGCTCATGATTCTTGATGTGCACACCTTAGTTATGCAAATGCCGTGTTTGAGCACAGAACATTGAAGTAAATGCTCTCCTATACGGGTAGATAGAAGTCTCTGTGCAACATCTGTTCAGTTGTAGGTTACTGAAACTTGGCGAAACTGTAAAAACACCAACCGGAAGTTTACATTTACAGGGTCATACCAAAATCATCATCATCATCATGTTGCAGGTCCTTTGCAGAACGACGCTCTCATCACAGTCTGCCTGTAAGAAAATCGGTCTCTCGCCAGTTCTCCCGCACTTTCACACTCAAAGAGCCACTTATATCCTGAGCCCATCTTCGTGACAGTCGGCCCCTGCCCCTTCCTCCTGGTACCATGTCTTCTGCTATAATTTTTTCCAATCCGTCGTTGCGCTTTACGTGACCAAAATATTTCAGCTTTCGAGAAAGGATGCTGTTTATTAGCCAGTCTTCCTTGATGTTCAGATCTTTTAAGTTGTCAATATTTCTTATCTTCTTTGTCCAAGATATTCTGATAACCTTTCTATTGCATTTCAGCTCAAAAGCCCCAATTCTCTTTTTCAAGGACTGAGAGATAGTCCACTACTCACATCCGTATGAAGCCACAGGGAAGATGCATGCTCTCAAAATTCTAATTTTTAGCTCCTTGCTGGTACTTAACCATCGATTCTTAAGGCTGTTCAGTCTTTGCATTGCAATGGCCATCATTTTTTTTTTATTCAAAGTTTGTGACATTTTCAATTTCTTTATCATTTATTGTTATTGTTATTTTTGGGTGACAGTCAGTTTTATCTGTGGACATTATTTTCGTTTTCTTAAAATTCAAGAACAGATTTTGATCTTCACTGTGCTTTTGGACAGACAATATTAAATTTTCTATTCCCTTTACGCTGTTCGAAAGGAGGACTGTGTCAGCGGAGTTCTGGAATAGGGTTGCCACCATTTTTGAGCGGATTATAACTGTCACAAGTCTGGTCATTTTTGACATTTCTCATTATATTTTCTGAGTATTTATTTAATAGGTATGGTGAGAGAATGCACCCCTGCCATACCAAAATACTGAAATAAAAATAAACTTTTTCGAGAAAGGCAAAGAAAAGGAATATCAGGTGTGACTTCACACCACAAAGAATAGGAGACCAAAAAAAGATAGCTAAAGAATCGTCCTTCATATAGCAGGCAAGCGGGCGGCTGACAAAGGATCAAGTTTGCACTGTTTGTTTCTCAAATTAGCATTGGAATCGGGAACATACATTTCACCATACGTTTATTTATTATGAAGCGCCCTTTTCCACGGCTGCATGCGTATTGGGCATATAGGGCTAGACTAGGTTGACCATATCGTCGGAACGGTATCGTTTTTTAGAAGGCTCAGATAGTCCCATCTATAGTTTAAAAAAAAGAGGTCCATTGTCCCGCCTTTTTTTTTTAGGACAGTCGATATTATCCCGGCGAAAGCTGGACTTATGCCACCCTAAGCTAGATCTATATTTCATGGACCAATTGTGACTTGGTGGGTAATGTAATCAACATCACACCGGTCGCCTTTACTTCTAAGACTGTACCTGGTGCCCATTTGAGGCTGGAGATCATTTTTGTTTAATAGTCCAGCTCCGTCCACGATCTTCGGATCCGCAGGCGAGCGGATCGCTCCTGCACCACAGCGAATCTTACGTTTGTTATACTTCCTACTGTTCTGAAACCCATTCTACTTCTTCTTAGTACACTAGTGTTGTGTCCCTTTACAACATGGCTGTGATATTTGCTCCCAACCTACCTATGCAGGTATTGGTTTCCCCAACTAACTGTCATGGTTAGTTTCGCGGGACACTGCAGTCTCATTGTTGTGTGGTCATCTTTGTTTCCTAGTCCATATGTGGTACCTACTGAAGACGGCCTTGTACCACCCAAGGCCTTCTCTACTGCAGACAGCTTTGTAC